AGGGGTCACCAACAGTGGAACAGTAACCTTAAGAGTGAGGCAAGGTATGAGTGCCATGATCAGTCTAGTACTCTGAGTAGGTATTAGCTGTCACTTTGTTGAAATTATGGCAGGAACAGAGCAGTCGGTGGTGGGTAGATGTCTCAGCAGGGCAGGCTGGTAAGCAGGTAGATGGCACAGCAGACAGGCTGGTCGCAGGCAGCCTGATAGCAGATGGATGGCAAAGAAAGCAGGCTGATAGCAGATGGCTGGGAGTGGACAGTCGGGTAGCAGACGTATCAGATGAGAACGCACTGGACTGTGGAGCTGGAGCAGGCTGTATGAACAGGATGCAGGGTCAGGCAAACAAGGTTAGCAACAGACGAGTAAATCGGGCTTAATAGGCAGGAGAGGAGTTAGATCACAGGCCAATGTCAACAGTGAGGCAGATCAGGCAGAGACAGTAAGCAGAGGCAGAATCTGGAGAACAAGCCAAAGTCAGGGCAGGTAGCCGACAAGAGGAGTAAGGAGCAAGCCGGGTCAGGATCAGAGATCAGCGATGGGGAAATTGCATATTACATAGTTCCTTATTAATGTTGGCCTCACAAATGTCTAAGAATGCCTCCAAGCCTTGGTGAGAGGGCTATACGAGGACCAGGTCTGATTACCTTAAACAATAAAGGAATGTGACTATTTGGACAAGGCAGACCACTGCTCTCCTTTTTGTTTGCATGGGGGGTGGGTTGTCGATTACTTACACACAAGTCCAGTATATAACACACAGCTAGACTGGAAATATTTATCTTGACCTAGAGCATGTGTTAAGCATGCGTCTAATCTGATCATCGGCCACGCCATATAATGGAGGGACACGTGGCGGAAACATCATCTTTAGTTAAGTATACTTGTTATATTTTCTTTATCTGTACCTGTCATTACTTGTAATAAATGTTATAATTATAAGTATTTGTGTGATCTCTCTTTGCACATATCGAATACAACCACAAAACCCTAACAAAAAACAGTCAGGCACTGGAATCAGGATAAACACACACAGATGCTGCAGACCAACCAGCAATTAGCCAGTGCAGTAGTACTGTTTAAACAGGCCATTTGGTGCCAGTCTTGGTAACCTATACTCATTCTTAAGCACATCTGCCTGGCCAGTTGCTGGTCTGCTCATGCACATTTTTATGCGCCGGGAAACTTTGTACTATGAGCAGGCCTTTCCTGACATTCGATGACTACCCTTTACCTTTCAACCAGCATCAATTCTTCTAACTGCACACAGTTTTTGAAGGAACTCGGCAGGCAGGTTGTTCCAAACATCTCAGGAAACTAATCACAGATCTTCTGTGGATTTAGGCTGCCTCAATTTTTTCTGTCTCTATGTAAACAGACTTTTTTTTTTTTAAATGGTTGAGCTGGATGGACTTTTGTCTTATTTCAGCCAGACTAACTATGTAACTCTATGATGCTGAGATCAGGGCCCTGTGGGAGCCAAACCATCACTCCCAGGACTCCTTGTTCTTCTTTACACTGAAGACAGTTCTTAATGAGATTGGCTGTATGTTTGGGGTTGTTGACCTTATAAAGCTTTGATTACTAACAGTCCTCCTCCTTGTGGGCTCTGGCACACTGCTCTGGATGGCTGTGCACAGTACAGCCATCCAGAGCAGTGTGCTTACAGTAACCCACCAACACATCACCCCCCAGTAAAACACTCCCAGCACACAGTTAACCCTTTGATCACCCCTCGTGTTAACCCCTTCCTGCCCAGTGCCATTAGTACAGTGTCAGTGCTTTTTTTTTTTTTTAGCACTGATCACGGTACTGGTGTCACTGGGGATGTCAGTGACTCCAAGTCAGTTCACCCCAGTGTCGGAATGCCTGTCGCAGTCCCGCTATAAGTTGCTGATCACCATTACGAGTTAAAAAAAAAAAAAAAAAAACCCAAAAAATTTCCAGCATATATACCGCCATTTGTAAATGCTATAACTTTCACGTAAACCAATTAATTTACACGTATTGGGATTTTTTTTTTTTTTTTTTTTAGCAAAGACATGTAGCAAAATACTTTTTGATCTAAAATTATGACGAAATGTGATTTTTTAAAAAACATTTTAGTGGACATGTTTAATAGCAATAAGTAAAAAAAATGTTTTCTCTCAAAATTGTCAGTCTTTTTTATAGCGCAAAAATTAAAAACCACACAGGCAATCAAAAGAAAGCTCAATTCATGGGAAAAAAAGGACGTACATTTCATTTGGGTGCAGAATTGCATGACCGTGCAATTGTCAGTTAAAGTAACATAATGCAAAAAAAATGGCCTGGTCAGGAAGGGGGGTAAATTCCCAGGAGGGCAAATGGTTAATGTGCATTATCCCTTCTCTTTCTGTATATGGATGATGGCATGGTAATTATTTTAATAAAAAAAAAAAAAACAATGCATTTTCTTTCCAATATGATATTCAGCTCTGTCATATGCCAGCTCTTTCCCAGCCTCTCTGCTGGAAAACATATGTAGGAGGAGCTTCTAGTTTGAACATGGTCACATGTTCAAAATAAAAAAGAGACTTTGGGATACAGAGTAACCTTAAATGATTAATATCAATAAACTGTTCAAATTTTTCATACAAATACATATTTGAAATCAAATCTTTTTTTTTTTTACAATAACATAGTGTGGGCGGATTTCTGCCAATCACAGGCTGTGCCCAGTCCCTCCAGCATGTGTCTTAGAATAACAGGGAGATAAAGCCACCATCAATCAAGATGTAATATCCCATCCTTATTGTGTTTAGCTGGGTATAGTGGGCATAGAGAAGGGAGAGAGTAGGCTGTCATTTACTACATGTGTGACTATAATCACATAGGCTGCTCAGATGTGATAGAGAGGAAATGGTCAGCATAGAAACTCACTGAAATAAAAAAAAACTGAGCATGCGCTATAGCTGCCAACATTGCTCTGCAAAATCCCCAACTACACTAGGGGCATGGACAGAACGGGGGGATAAAGAACAGCAGGATCAACTAAGTTTTTTTTGCAGAATACAGAAAACAAGTTCCATTGTGAATGATCGTGAATGATTATGAACAGCATGTAATGCAGCATTTATTGATAGTTTTTTTTATGACGTGGGTTTAGTGACACTAAGTATCTGCCTGTATTTCTCATCATTGAGGACGCAATTGATCCTGACACCATTGAATCTACAGGACATGGAAACAAGGCTAAGCGAAAACTATGCACGAAAACATAGGAAACATCTGGACTGAGGAGTCAAAATTTGAAATATTTGGCTGCAGCAAAAGGCAGTTAGTTCACAAAGGGCCAGAAAGTGGTACAATAGTGAGCGTTTGCAGGCAAAAGGCATGGTGGAGGTTCCTCGCAAGTTTAGGGCTGTCAATTTGGTCAGAATCATGAGTGTCCTCATTGCTGAGAAATACAGGAAGATACTTAAAGTGGAACCTTAGTCAGAAAATTAAATCCTGCTAAATCAGTTCAGGCTGACCCCTTTTGAAGGTATAGCTATGTAAAATATAAAAAATAAGAGCCTATACTAATTAAAATCCAGTAATACAATGTCGCACCCTGCTCTGCACATGCTCAGTTGCTCTCGATTTTTAGGCACCACTTTTAGAATCCGATCTGCTGACAGCCTAAAGATTAAAGCAGAGGTAAACCTATCGAGTTAACCGTTTCAAAAAATCAGTTACATTACTGGCATGCCAGGAATGCTGTCACAATTGCTTGTGTTATCAACTGTCAAACCATTAAATGACTGGGGTTATAACTGATCATATATGCAGAATCATAAAAGTTGCAGATCAAACAGATGGCAGCTTCCTTGGCTGAAAAGGATAGGACGGTTTAGTTCTGCTTTTCAGGTGTCTGGGCTTCAACAAAATGGTAGCCTCCAGCAAGAAAAAACAGGAACAATGCTGAAGGCAATTTACAGCACACACTAATTTTGGTAGCAGAATTATTCATGTGGAATGTATATTCCTTGCTACAGAACATTATTTTTTATCAATTGTTATGAGTAAGGTTCCGCTTTAACCATTATGCTATAACTTCAGGGAGGCATGTGGCTGGCCCAAAATTTATTCTGCAGCAAACATGCAGCCAAAGTCATTAAGAACTATCTTCAGTATAAAGAAAAAAAAGGAGTCCTGCAAGTGATGGTTTGGCTCCCACAGAGCCCTGATCTCAACATCAAATCTGTCTGAGAATACATGAAAAGACAGAACTATTTGAGGCAGGCTACATACACAGAGAATTTGTGGTTAGTTCTCCCAAGACGTTTGCAACAACCTACCTGCTTGAGTTCCTTCAACAACTGTGTGCAAGTGTACCTAGAAGAACCGATGCCGATCTGAAGGCAAAGGACACTCACACCAAATAGTGATTTAATTTGGATTTCGTTTCTGTTCATTTACTTTCCATTTTGTCAATTGAAAGAAAAAAAAAACTAATAGCGCTTCTATTTCTGAAAGCATTCTTAAAGTGTTACTAAACCCACAACAGTAAAAATAAGTCTGTATATGCAGCAAAGCATGCTTGTTACACTCACTGTGGAACCTAAGGGGTTAATCCTCTGCATTGTGTAAAAACGCAGTTTGATCCTGACTTCTCTGATCCTCCCCTTTTCCAGTGTCCCCCTCTCATCTCCTGATAAGACATATCGTTTGGAGGCACTCTGCACATGCTCAGTTTAGTGTGTATTGCTATAGAGGTTTTGTGTGTTTCTTGGGAGAGTGCATGTGATCAGCACAGGGCCAATCAGTACTGTCCAGATAGAGGTCAGTTTATATTTACCAAAATAGGGAGACCAGATATAGTGGTATATGGTTTAGTAACACTTTAATTTACAGCACCTATACTGTAATAAAAAAAAATAATAAAAAAAAAAATATATATATATATATATATATATATATATATATATATATATATACACACACACACACACATATAAAATACAAATGTTGGTGCTTTTTTTTTTTTTTTTTTTTACCTGAACGCAGCCAAGTACTCTGTATCCCCCATGGGTGGATCCAGTCCTCCAGTAAAAGCAACATTCACATTAAAACCCAAACCAGCACTGCTTCCAACCTTCAAGGAAAGAAACACAAAAAAAAAAAAAAAAAAAAAAAAATCAGATGCAACACAACATTCAGGTGCATACAATGAACTTTATAACTCTATGAACGCATTAAGTACTCCTTGAAATGTACACAATTATGTAGATGTCCTCTAATTGCGTATCACAGTTTTCTAAACAACACTTTTTAAAATTATAAAATGAATAAATAAAATCTGTTTTTGTATCTGTTTCCTGAAGATTATTCACCATCAGTTTAAATGGTGTTTTGGATTTAAAGGGCCACAAAATAAGTCAAAAGTAAATTTTTGGGGTGCAAGCAGAACTGGAAAACTCTAGCCAACAATGCATACACAAGGTGGAACTTTAGTCAGGAAATTAAGTCCTCCTAGATCATTTCAGGCTTGCCCTTTTTGTAGGTATAGGTATGTAAAACATTAAAAACAAGTGGCTATACCAGTAAAGCCCTGACTCAGCCTGTTCTGCACATGCTCAGTTGCTCTTTATTCCGGACACTGTCCAACCTGAGACACTAGAGGCTGAACAGATGACAGCGTTAAGGTTTACTGTTGCTGAAAAGGGGGTGGGGGGGACGACAACAGGAATTACACTGGCTGTACTGAGGGAACACAGATCAGGGAGAGAGAAAGGAAAAGCAGTAGAGGTGACAGGACAAACTCTGCTGCCAGGGGGAGACAAAAAAAAAAAAAAAAAAAAAAAGGTACATTTACAAGCATAGTACCTGATCTCCAAGATATTCTTTCCTTTCTCCCTCATTGGCAGCCTGTGAACTTCATCACTGTACAGTGTAACTTCGCTAACACACAATCAAGGCTGGAAATGTACATATTTTAACCACTTGCCCTCCAGAAGATTTACCCCCCTTCCTGACCAGGCCATTTTTTGTAATACGACGCTGCGTTACCTTAACTGACAATTGTGCGGTCATACAACGCTGTACATAAATGGAATTCATGTCCTTTTTATCCCACAAACTTTCGTTGTGGTATTTGATCACCTGTGCAGTTTTAATTTTTTGCGCTATAAACAAAAAAGACTGATAATTTTGAAACAAAGAAAAAAACTGTATTTTTTACTTTTTGCGATAAACCGTATCCAGTAAAAAAAAACAAACAAAAAAAATGATATTTCCGCATAAATTTAGCCAAAATGTATTCTGCGACATGTCATGACATATCATGTCATGACATGCTAACAAAAATCCCAATACGTGTAAATTAATTGGTTTACGTGAAAGTTATAGCATCTACAAATGGAGGCATATATACACTTTTATATACTAGTAATGGCATCGATCAGCGACTTATAGCAGGACTGTGGCGGGTATTCTGACACTGGGTGGGAACTGACTAACTGCCACTGACATCTCAATGACAATAATACAGTGATCCGTGCTAATAAAAAGCACTGACACTGTATTAAAGACACTGGGCAGGAAGTGGTTAACATCTAGGGAGATCAAAGGGATAACTGTGTGCTGTTTTACTGCGTGAGCTTTACTAGGGAAACATGCTGCTGTGTATTTCTCTGCTGTGCAGAGAAGTACACAGCAGCATGTTATTGCTAACAGGAGAGAGACCTGTGTTGTTTATACAAAGGTCTCTCCCATGTCACTGTTTCTCAGCGATCGCCAGGTGCCGGCGGGGAATCTCCGGCCGGGACCCGGTGGTTGACATCTGTAGCCGCCAGTGGCGGAGTGGGTAGGACGGTGCACCCCCTACCCGAAAATGCATATCACGTGTGTGTGTATATAATCTGTGTGTGTGATTTTGCGCAGTACTGCTGCTATAGGGCGGAGGGGAAGCGGTTAAATACAGAAAATTACATAAAGTTTTTGAGACTAAGGAGAGGGAGAGAGTTTCCAATAAGGAAGTGACGGCTCTGGGCTTCAACAAAATGGCAGCCTCCAGCAAGAAAAAAGAGCAATGCTGGAGGGAATTTACAGCATGAACTCATTTTGGTAGCAGCATAATTAAGGTAGTGTATGTTCTTTTGTTAAAGAACATTCTAATTAACTGTTATGGGTGAAGTCTCTCTCTAACTAGCTGCAGACTTTGGGAGTGCTACACATGCCCCCAAAAAAACTTCCTGTATACAGGGCGTGTGTGGCGCATCCAGTCTCTCTGCACTGCCTCTGGGACAAAATGGCGGAAAGTTTTTTTTTTTTTTTTTTTTTTAATGTTCCTCAATTGAACCCCTTATTAACTCTTAGTTTGCGCAAATCAGCCCTAATTAACTCCTTAGTCTCCTTCTCTCCAAGTATTTTCCTGCTCATAGTTTTTTTGTTTTTATTTCATTAACTATTAATATTTAAACTTTGTTTGTTAACATCGTTACACATTTAACTTTACATATTTACACATTTCCCATTTAAAAAAAAGAGCAAGATCAAAAGGAAAAAAAAACAAACACTTTAATTTGTAAATAATGTTGCAACACTTTGTACCAGAATCATAACTTTAGTGTCATTCTAAACAGGACAAATTACAGAATACGATGTGCACAGGTAATTGTAAACAGGTCCATAGAAGAACTGTAAAAATTACTCTGGTCCACAGGGGGTGAACCCGTGTGAGAGGCGAAGTGGTTCAGCTGGGTATACAGATCCAGTTTTGTTTTTCCGTTCAACCAGTGGATTGATTGAAAAAAACTGACCTCCCCATATCCGACGTGTGATGCACAAATTTCTTCTGCTGTTCTATTGTATCCTGACAGGGGAGCAGAGAAAACTGTTTTTTCATTTGGGACGAGACTGGAGCCTCACATCAAGAGGTCACCAAAAGGTTGAATAATTCAGACTGGAATCTGGAATTCATGACTTTATATAGTTTAAGTCAGGTCAATTTTCTTGACTTGAGCATCAGGATTATTGAGGGTAGGATTGAAACAGCAGTATACTAGAAAGAGACTGACCGTAAGGAGTTTGTCCCAGGGGATAGTTGCCATCACTGTCCCTGGATTGAGGCAATCCCTAAAGGACAATTTCTGATGTATAGAAGGAACTGCTCAAACCTGATCACTTAGCAGTAAAAAAGGTTGAAATCAACTGGAAAAAAACATATAAACCCAAGATTGTGGAAGAAGCATGTAGAGATGCTTTGGAGGTAGACACAAAAACTCTTTTGTGTGACAAGGAGGAAACCCCTATTTGTATTCTTCCCTACTGTGAAAGTAAGAGGAGAGTTGCGAAGATGATCAAGCAATATCGGCCCCTTCTTAGGAAGGATACGTCCTCAGTGCGGTATTACCCTCAAAACCCAAAGTGGCCTTCACAAAGGTTCCCACCTTGAATATGATAATGATAAAAAGTCTCCTTTGAGAACACTTGACTGGTGACAAATGCTTTAGGAGGTGCCTTAGGTGTTATGCCTGCAGACACACTAGAGGTGGAAGTAGGATCATCAAAACCTAAGTATAATTATACAGGAAGGCAAATGAGATAAGGGACTTCCTTACCTGCGATAGCACCCAGCAAGTTTATCTGCTTGAGTGTGGTTCTCATATGCAGAATATGGGGAGAAAGAAGGCTTGTTTCACATCTATGCATTTTGCGATCGATGCCTTCTCCAGTGCTTTTTGCAGTCTTTCTACAAGCATTTTTACCACGTTTTGTTCAGCTTTTTTTAAGTGGAATTTTTGTTGTTGCTGGGCAGAATAAGAATGCAAAACAGTGCAAGAACGCACTACCATGCATTTCAGCAGCTTCTCCATTGAACTTTATTGTAGCTTTTAAAAAAGTCCCTGGCTCTTTCCAAAAACGCAGCAGCTCAAAAAAGCATAGATGTTCCATAGGAAACAATGTTAAATGGACTGTAGTACATTTCTGCAAAAAGCACTAAAAACACATTGGTGTGAACAGAGCCTAAAAGAACATTGGCAAAATGCATGAGACCATACTAATAACATCTTTAAATGGCAAGACAGATCAAATCGTACCACAACACTTCAAAGTCTGCCAAGCCCCAAAAATTGAGTATTTAGTGATACAAAGAATGATACTGAAATGGAGGGGAGCAGATTTGATCACTGCACTAGATTAAAGGGAGGGAGAGCAAATATATTGCCTCAACACTGTAGCTCCAAGAGGTTTAAATGTAGATTTTTAATTTAAATTATTTTTTTTTATACATTACCTTTTACAAATAGGAGTGAGGTGGAAGGTGTTCATTCCATAAAGGCCCAATAAGGGATTATTTGCTAATATATTGGGATTATTCATTCTGGTTTTCATTTTTGAGCTTTTTTTTTTTTTTTTTTTTTTTTTAAATATGCTTTTTAGTCCAACCCAAGCAAAAATACTATCTGTACCTGAAGTTTATGGCAGACTGATATTAACATTTTGGTTCTATAACCCAGTTGTTTTTGATCTTAGGAGGAGAAGACACATTTTAAATGTGTAATATAATGAAAAAAAAACTTTTTAATGTTGACTGACTGATGACTGCACCCTTTATCAGAATTTCAGTCTAAGGGGTTAATTTGCACACAGCCAGTAGAGGGTTATGAAATGGTAGTAGGATATATAGTCAGAACCCTCCAGATGAAGAAGAGTTACAGTCTTCAAAATGCATTGTGTTTTGAGTAGAAGCATGTGAAAAGGGAGTGTTTACATTCTGTCATCTGTGTTCAAGTACCTGCCTCGGACAGGAGTATACACTGGATGTGTATCCCTTGGAATGCTCATAAAACTAGTGGCTTTGTAATTAGGATTTTATCTTTTGAATAAGAATGTGTTCTTTATACTGCACAAGAAGAGTGCCCTATCTTCTTTTATTTTGTGAGGAAAGTGGGACCCCAACCTGAGGGTTGACCAGCAGTGAAGCAGCACCAGCCTAATTGTGGAAGGTAGATTGAGGGCAGGAGCTGATTGGAAGATGGAGCAGACCTGTGAGGGAGACAAGGTCTTGTGAGCCAGAGGGAACAGCTCTGCCAGGGAGACAGTTCTGTGATCTGGACTGCACTGTAAGTGAGGAAGAGGTGAGGGAGTGGGCCACCCCTGCCCATTGACAAGCAAGGCTGGAAGAGTGTTTGTTACAGATTGCAGAGTCCATGAGAGTTCAACATCAACTATTACTATCTGACTGGTGTAGTTTTGTACTGAATGTTTAGTTGAGAATTATCCATGATAAAAGCAGATCTGCCTGAGTGTGATCTCATTAACCCTTTCAGTTGATTGCCAATACCAGCATTATCTATAGTCCACATGTCCTGTTTTATTTACAGTTGTACTCAAAGGTTTACATACCCTTGGAGAATTGATAATACGGTGTACCATTTTTAACCACTTCCCACCCGTAGGATGTCATATGATGTCCTGGGCTTGACGTGGAGATATCAGGATGATGCTAGCAGCTACAGGCCAGGCATCATCCCACTATCTTTTTTTTCAGCCACCGATTCCCTGTCATGTAAAAGCCATCCTAGCGGCTAATTAGCCGCTAGATTGCTTTAACAGGCAGCAGGAGGGGGTGTACACACCTACCGCTGCTCCTCTGTGAGCTCTCCTGTATGATCAGGGACCTGGTATCTAATCTGGCGTTGCCGCCAGGTTATCATAGAGCTGGTCATGATGTCACTTTCGGTTGTGGCAGAAGTAAACACTGCCATTTTTTTATCTCATGCTTTCCAGGGTAGCGCAGAGATCTGGGGTCTTATAGACCTTAGATGTCTCCATAATGAAGACCTGTTCTGCCTTATTTCTACCACAAGGGAGGTTTACATTTCTTGTAATAGGAATAAAAATGATTTTTTTTTTTTTTAATTTAAAGCGCCTGTAAAATGTTAGTCGCCTTATGGAGATTTTTAAGTACCATAGTTTTGCACCATTCCACAAGCATACGCAATTTTAAAGCATGACATGTTGGGTATCTTTACTCACCAGATCAGCTTTTATATTTTATCAAAAAATTGAGCTACATATTGTCTTTTTTGCATTAAAATTCATTAAATGTATTCTTTCCCCAAAATTTATGTTTTAAAAACCGCTACGCAAATATCATGTGAGATAAAAAATTGCAACACCCATCATGTTATTCTCTAGGACCTCTGCTTAAAAATATATATAATGTTTGGGGGTTCTGAGCAGTTTTCTATAAAAAAAATTATGATTTTTACAGGTAGGAGAGAAATGTCACAATTGGCCCGGGTGGGAAGTAGTGAGCAGACAAAACACATTTCTTTAATTTCTTTTGGGATTCACATTGAACTGCAGGTTGTAACATAATGGCACAAACATAAAACATTTTTTTTTTTGTGTAAGTAAAGTATTTTCTGATGACATGCATTCATCTTCCCATTAATTTTTGCAAGATTCCACGTGCCTTTAGAGCTCACACACTCCAAAAACAACAGTGATCCATCACCATGATTGTTGCTATGAGCCTTGTTGAACCCTCTTCAACATAGAACTTATGGTTGTGACCATAGAGCTCTATTTTGGTCTCGTCAGTCCAGAATACAGTATGCCAGAAGCTGCTAGGTGTGGCAAGGTGTTGTTGGCATGTTGTAACCAGGCTTTTTCATGGCACTGGTGCAGTAAAGGCTATCATCACATTGTACTCCGTGAAACAACCACACCATCTTTTTCCAGAGCAGCCTGTATTTCTCTCTGGGTTTTCCTATGGGTTTTTCTTTGTATCCCAAACAAATCTTCTAGCAGTTGTGGCTGCAATCTTTCTTGGTCTACCTGACCTTGGCTTGATATCAAGAGATCCCCGATTTCTACTTCTTAATAAGTGATTGAACAGTACTGATTGGCATACTTAAGGCTTTGGATATCTTTTTATATACTTTTACATCTTTATAAAGTTCCATTACCTTATTACACAGGTCTTTTCCATTACCTTATTACACAGGTCTTTTCTGCTCACTAGTCAGTGAGCTAAAAAACTCACTGACTAGTTATACACAGACACTAATTGCCATTTAAAAAGTCACAGACGTGGGAAATGAACCTTTAACGTGTACGTATGTGTGTGTACGTGTGTGTGTGTGTGTACGTGTGTATCACCTTGTGTGTCTGTACCAAGGTCAAACATTTCAGGGTATGTAAACCTTTGATCAGGGACATTTGGGTGATTTCTGTTATCATTCTGATTTAAAAAGGAGCCAAACAACTATGTGATAATAAATGGCTTTAAATGATCACTATCCTTAAACTAAAAGACAGTTATTTTGGTATGATCTTCAATATCAATGCCAACATTTCACTGTTCTGCCAGGGTATGCAAAATTTTGAGCACAACTATATTTATATATCATTAAAGTAGTTCAAAACCCTAAAAATTTCTTACCTTCCTTGCATTAATGTAAAAAAATAGTTAGGTTAAAGTATTGCCCCCTCATCCCCTGTAATACTTATCTGAGCCCTCACTCAATCCAGTGCGGTCCACAAGAGCAGTGGCTCTCTTCTCTTCTCCCCACTCTCATAGGCTTTGCTGAGGGCAGTGGGAGCCATTGGTTCCTGCTGCTATCAGTCAAATCTTGTGGCGAGGAAGTGGGGCTGAGCCTCGCTGTCTGTGTCAATGGTATCAAGCGCCCAGGTGTGCCACGATAGGAAGTGGCTTCCTATGGTGGCACACCGAGAAGAGGAGGAACCAGAAGTGCCAAGGAAGACACAAAAAGAGAAGGTTCAGGGATGATGATGATTTTGGATGATGATTTTGGATTTGATGATATTTGATGTATTTTCCATTGATCATCACCACAGGGCGTATTGGGAAGTTTATCACAAACTTGTACAAATAATAGTTTATTCACTTCCTAGGGAGGAAGTAGTGTTTTGTGGCTGTATAGGAGCTTTTTGATTGAAGGTTCAGGGATGCTTTGTGAATTCCATTGCACAGGGCAGGTAAGTATAAACTTGTTTGTTAATTTAATAAAAAAAATATGAGACTGTACAAAAATTTGTGCAAAAATTTTTTAAATTCTGGACATTGAATGGATAAATTGTATCCCCATGTTTTAACTTTTTTTATGTGCAGGAGTTATTCAGAGCCAGCTGATTTAAGTATTATTTGGTAAAAATATTCACAGAAATGATGTGAGGACTGTGGGGAGATTCAGCGCACGGAGACATTGTTTACATTAATATTGTGACCTATGGTGTGATGTAACACCATCAATCTGAGACTGAGCTCTGCATGGTAACATTTTTTTAAAGTTTAACACTCAGTACAGGAATACAGGCAAATACAATGCCTGGTTTCCTGCTAGTTTTAATGTGAAAACAAATACTACTCAGGAGACATTAAAGTGGAGCTCCAGTCAAAATAAAAAAAAAGACACTCATCTGTCCCTTGATCCAGCGGTGTCCTCACCACAGCCGGGTTTCACCAGCCATCCTGTGTCCCCGGCGCCAGCATCTTCAGTGTGGGCAACCAGTTGTGACAGCTTGTGGCTTCACAGCCGGGTGCCCACTATGCATGTGGGCGGGCGATACTGTTAACTAGACATTTTTAACCTTAATGAATAGAATGCTATAAGGTAAAATATGTTTAGGCTTTAGAACCACTTTAAAGGCTAATTTTACCTTCAGCAACATGTTACATCTGTGTTTAAGGTGTAACAAGTTGCCTAGTACCTTTCGTCAAAGTCACATAATGCCGTTTCAACCAGCATAATATGTCCACAACATGTTACAAATGTATTCTTGGCTTACTTTTAACATATATCCTAAACTGTAGCCCTTTTCTTTAACCACTTGCCCCCCCTGAGGCTTTACCCCCCTTCCTGACTAGGCAATTGTTTGCGATAGGGTACTGCGTTACTTTGTCAATTGCGCGGTCATGCAACACTGCACCCAAATGAAATGTACGTCCTTTTTTCCCACAAATTGAGCTTTCTTTTGGTGGTATTTGATCACCTGTGCGGGTTTTTTTGGGGGGGCTATAAAATACAAAAAAAAAAAAAAAAAAAAAGACCGACAATTTTGAGTAAAAAAAAAAAAAAAATTAAAAAAAATCTAATTTCCTCAAAACTTTAGGCCAAATAGTATTCTGCTACATGTCTTTGCTAAAAAGAAACCCAATACGTGTAAATTAATTGGTTTATGTGAAAGTTATAGTATTTAAAAAGGTGGTATATATACTGCGATTTTTTTTCTCTTACTAGTAATGGTGGCGATCAGCAACTTATGGCAGGATTGCAGCGGGTATTCTGAAACTGGGGGGAACTGACTTGGTGTCACTGACATCCCCAGTGACACCAATGCAGTGATCAGTGCTAAAGAAAAAAAAAAGAAAAAGGCACTGAGCAGGAAAGGGTTAACATGAGGGGTGATCAAATGGTTAACTGTGTGCTGTATCCGTGTGCTTCACTGTAAGCACACTGCTTTGCATGGCTGTGCTCTGCACAGCATGCAAAGCAGTGTGCAAAGGCTGACAGGGAAAAGAGTTGTTTTGTTTACAAACAGCTCTCCTCCCCATCAGAGATGCTCAGCAATCACCGTCCGGAACCCGGTGATTGACAGCCGCAGCTGCGAATGGCGCACGCCCCCTACCTGGCAAAGCAAAATCACATATATATATATACACACACGTGATTGTGCATACCCATGCTGCCCTGTAGTAGTATTTTTATAATAGGGCGGTTGGGAAGCGGTTAAACACAAAAGACATGCGTTACGTCTGGATATTAGAGGAAGTTCTAATCATTCCCAAGTACCTCATCAGGAGCACCACTTCCTGGAAAGAAGTTTCCATCATCATAGCGATGGAGCGATATATAAAGAACCGAAGGATCACTATAGAAAGCCTGCTGGGTACCATTTCCATGATGCACATCCTAGAATAAAAAAGTTTTAAAAAAAATGCAAGTTATAATTGTAAATCATGAGATGCATAGCAGATATTAAAATTGCTGGACCTAAGCCCATCTTCCAGCTTCATGACCCCCCAACATTTGACAACCCTTCCTCAAAACCCTCCAGGAGGTCTCCCATGGGCATGTTTTGCTTTGATATTGCAATTGTCATAAATTGTCCATTCTCTTTGTTCATAAAGGGGAAAAGAAGCATTTGACTTAGCTATAGTCCATAACAAGGCATACAATTCAGGACGCAATTCAGGCTGAGTTTTCATAGACATTGGGTTATGGGCTCGTACCTTCAGGTGATTGGACAAACCTTTTGAGTCCCCAGCTTTGTAGCAAGCAAAGCAGAGTAATCAAGAAAAAGAAGGAGAGTGTCATGTACTGTACTCCAATGTATGGAAGTAAGTCTCTTATTTCAGTCATACAGTACAGAACACAGGCTGAGTATTCTTGGATCCAGGGATGCCATCAAACAAGCAAAAACAACAAGGTTGAACAGACCTAATTTCAGAGTGCTGCTGCAAAAACCTTGCAGCAGAAACCTGCATCCACAAAAGATTGGCTGTGCACCTGGTAGAACTTTGAAAAAGTATGCACACAGGAACAGATAGTGGCCTTACAAAGCTGGGCCTCAGAGGCTTGGTGCCGGAATGCTCAGGAAACACCCGCCGACCTGGTAGAGAAGCACATAAGAGTGCAGAACAACTTTTTCTTTTAGCGTGCAATCTCTGCTAATGAGCGGTCTAATTCATCTAGTGATAGCAGATTTTGAAGAAAGATGTCCCTTGCAAGGTCCTGACGGTAGGAGGATTATGGAGTCCCATCTTCCGGATAGAAGCTGTTGCTTTGAGGTAGACTCTGAAGTCTCTTAACTATGTCCAGGCAATAAAGAGCAATAACATTTTTTCTGTGCACTGAAACAGGGCACAAAAGAAAAAAAAAGAAAAAAAGGAAGGACTATGTCTTCATTGAGGTGGCATACGGATACCACCTTAGGAAAAAATGATGGTCTAGGACATGACTAAACAGGGGGGACTAAACCTTTTTGAAAATAACCTTCTTGATCCCCTTCATCTGGATTTCGCCCACAACACTCCACAGAAACTGCTCTCTAAGCAGAACATCTAAGAGGAGTGAGCAGGGGATCCTGAGCAGCTGAAGGAGGGAGAGATCCCTGCAGGGATAACGAGTGTATAAGGAGAGAAGCATTGTGGAGTACATAGGAGGTATCCAACATCCATTCCATGCTGCAGCAAATTCTAGCAGGTTCCATGTATGTGAACAAAAAGTGTATTAAGCCTATCTGTTAGGCTTGTAAGGAGGTGAGCGCACATCTTTAATGATTTAAGGATTCACAAAAAGTCACAATTGGTGTGTTTGAATCACGTCATCACAAATCCCTTTTTGTGGACTATTATTTGATTAATGGGACTGTTTTTTTATTTTATTTGAATCACATTTAACTTGATATTCATTTATTTATATATGGTATATTGTTTGTTTTCTCATGGATATATAATTTGAAGTCACTAATTTATAAGTTTGTTAGAGATTGGGAGAGCAACATTTTTTAGTTATATGGTCTTTTTTACACAGTTTGAGTATGTGATAAATGTTAGCGATCCAGAGGAATAATTTAGTGGCTCGCAAGTTACACACACATATTTTTTGTTTTATTTGACTCCACAGAAACGGCTCTCCTAAAACTCACAAACAACTTACTAACCGCTAAAACCAATGGTCACTATTCCATACTCTTGCTCTTTGACCTCCCCGCTGCCTTTGACACAGTTGACCACCCCCTCCTCCTAAAAAAAACTATTTACTTGGTCTCCGTGACTATACTCACCGTTGGTTTGAATCTTACCTATCTCACCGCACCTTCATTGTCAACTACAACTCTACTTCCTCCTCTCCTACTCCTCTTACTATCAGGGTCCCCCAAGGTTCTGTCCTTGGACCTCTCCCATTCTTGATCTACACTTCTTCCTTGCGTCAGCAGATAGCTTCCCATGGTTTCCAATACCATTTCTATGCTGATGACACACAAATTTATCTACTCTTCAGCTCACCCCATCAGTTTCCACACGTATCACCAATTTACTAACAGACATATCAGCCTGGATGTCACTCCGCTTCCTAAACTCAATTTATCCAAAACTAAGCTCATAATATTTCCTCCCCCACGCGCCTCTTCCCCTGATTTCTCAATCAGGATCAATAGCACCACTATCAACCCATCCCTGCATGCCACGGTGCTAGGTGTAACCCTGGATTCTGAACTATCCTTTCAGGCTCATTGGCTTACCTTTACATAGGCTATCCCCCCTCCACTCCATCATGAATACTGCTGCCAGGCTCATCCACCTTACCAACCGTTCAGTATCTGCTACCCCTCTCTGCCAATCCCTCCACTGGCTTCCACTCGTTCAATGAATAAAATAAAATTCAAAATACTAACAACTTACAAAGCCATCCACAACTCTGCCCCCAGCTACATCACCATCCTGGTCTCAAAATATCAACCAAACCGTTCTCTTCGATCCTCCCCAAGACCTTCTGCTCTCTAGTTTCCGTGTCACCTCCTCCCATGCTTGCCTCCAGGACTTCTCTTGAGCTTCTCCTATCCTATGGAACTCTCCACCCCAATCTGTCTGGCTGTCTCCTAATCTATCCACCTTTAGACGATCCCTGAAAACCTCTTTAAAGAAATCTATCCTGCTTCTACCTAGTAAACCACCATTTATTTCCTCCATCAGCTCATCCCCCCCACAGCTATTACCTTTTGTATCACTCAACCCTTCCTCTTGGATTGTAAGCTCTAACGAGCAGGGCCCTCTGTTTCCTCTTGTACCAAATTGTAATGTCTACCTTCATTTTATAAAGCACTGCGCAAACTGTTGGCGCTATATAAATCCTGCATAATAATAAGAATGACTACCCAGTCCTTGTGAAAAATGGCCCCTTAACAAGAGAAAGCCTCCAGCTCAGAGATATGTCTGAGAGACCTAATGGCGACAAAGAAGGACACTTTGCAGGAGAGATCAACAATGGAGAGATTCCTAGCCAGTTCAAAGGGTAGTTTCTGCAGAGCACAGAGAATTAAGTTGAGGTCCTAAGGAATCACAGGGTGCTGCAAAGCGGGCTAACCAAACCTTGGATAAAGGTTTTTACAAGAGAGAGCAAGGCCAGAGGCTTTTGAAAAAGAAACGTGTCATTTCAGAGTGCTTAAGGACAAGTTATAGCCAAATTCTGATTGTAGACAGACCATAATGCCAGGCACAGAGTAGTCTCTGGGACTGAAGTGCCTGTGTTCACACCAGGCAAAGGAGGATTTCCATAATAAATCTTTCTGGAAGTATTTTTTTTTGTCTTGTGTTTATCAAGGCAGGAATGACAGACTCAGAGACTCCTTTTTCCCTAAAGGCCTGGGCATCAACAGCCATGCCATTAAACCACTGACTGTGAGCAGAATGGATAAGGGGCACTGAAACAGGTTTGACCTGCTGGGAGGGTTTTCTCCTACTAGTTTGAGTGTGAAGGGCCTATCCCCCTTGGTCCAGGTGGTGACAGCAAAGGTAATCTGCCTTCCAGTAGTCCACTCCTGGAATGTGGACAGCAGAGATCACTGCACAATGAGTCTCCATCCATGAGATGATTTATCTGGCTTCCTTCAAGGCTGCATGACTTTTGGTGTCCCCTTAATGGTTGATGTATGCCACAACCATGGCATTATCTGACTGCACCGATTGGGTGTCATCGCAAACAGGGTTCCAGTGCTGCAGAGCCATCCTTATTGCTCTGGGCTCCAGGATGTTGATAGGGAACTTGGATTTCTACCGATCACCATGTTCCCTGAACTGAGAGGGACTGTAACACTCCGCCCCCTACACCAGCCTGAAAAACTGGCATCTTGCGTTATTTTGCAGTGATAAGGAAGAAAAGACTTCCCCATTCTTAGGCCTTGGCTGGAGATCCACCAAGCTAGGGAATTCTGTGCTTGGCTGGACAGGAGCATTGGTGGGTTGAGAGGACCATGCCTGCTCCAGATCAACAAGCTGTTGCACTGGGAGGGGTTTCAAATGAAATAGGAGAATGGAACAGCCTTTGAAGGAGGCAACAATGAAACCTTGAACTCTCATGGAGCATCTCACTGGGGAATGTCTCTTTGCCCTTGCGTCCCAAGTGTACACTATGAGAGAAAAGCAGTTTCCTTTCTGGAAAGAATACCTTTGCTTGGGATGTGTCCAGGATCAGATGCAGGCAAAGAGGAGGTTGGAGAGCAGATTTTTGGAAGCTAATTACCCAACCAAAAGCTTGAAACATTTGAATGGTCACGTGGATGTTTGCAGACAGCTGGAAGGGAGAAAACTCCTTCAGGAGAAGGTCATTTAGCTATCCTGTGACCCGGATGCCCTGAGTTCTTAGAAAAGAAGAGGTGCTAGGACACTTTTGGGAATACTCTGGAAGCAAAGGATAGGCCAAATGGAAGATTAACAAACTGGAAGTGGAATGTCTCCTACTGAAAAATGTAGAAAGAGCTAGAAGTGGATAAATGGGAATATGCAAATAGGCATTGTGGATGCGAAGTAAAAGAGGCAATAACTGATCTTTTGGATTCCATTTTAAATTTTGGAACTTAAAAGGTATTTAAAAGATTTTGGTCCATGAGTTCGCCTTGGATTGAATACATGCATCGGGCATTGGTACAAAAAACAAGTTTCAATAGAATCTTTTGAGCCTGTCCTGTGGGGGTACTGGTATATAACTACTCCCTGGGACAAGAGATGGTTCAAGGACATCCTGAAATTCTTCTTGTCCTTGAGCATAATTTGTGTGATATGAGAGAAGAAAGCAGTGCTGTAGTGGAGTTTTGAACTCTATTGTGTACCCTTTTAAAACCACCAACTGAACCCACAGTTCACAAAAAGGGATTCACAGGCAAGGATACTGCTGCTACTAAGATTGCACCTAAATCAACCATGTATCGGACCATCAAGAACTTCAAGGACACAGGTTTAACTGTTGTGAAGAAGGCTTCAGGGCACCCAAGAAAGTCCAGCAAGTGCCAGGACTGTCTCTTAAATTTGATTCAGCTGTGGGATTGGGGCACCACCAGTGCAGAGCTTGCTCAGTAATGGCAGCAGACAAGAGCACCTGCACGCACAGTGAGGCAAAGACTTTTGGAGGATGGCCTGGTGTCAAGAAGGGCAGCAAATAAGCCACTTTTCTCTAAGAAAAACATCAAGGACAGACTGATATTCTGCAAAAGGTACAGGGATTTGACTGCTGAGGACTGGGTAAAGTCATTGTCTCCAATGAATCCCCTGTCCAATTGTGCGGGGTATCTGGAAAAAACCTTGTTAGGGGAAGAAAAGGTGAGCGCTACTCATCAGTCCTGTGTCATGCCAACAGTACAGCATTCTGAGACCATTCATGTGTGGGGTTGCTTCTCAGCCAAGAGAGTGAGCTCACTCAAAATGAAAGAATTGTACAAAAACATCCTCCCACCCAACCATCCAAGAACAGTTTGGTGACAAACAATGCCTTTTCCAGTATGATGGAGCACCTTGCCATAGGGAAAAAGTGATAACTAAGTGGCTTGGGGTCCATTTTGTGGTCGATCCTCAAGAGGCGGGTGAACAAACCCCCCCCACAAATTCTGACAAACTTCATTGATTATGCTAGAGTGGGCAACCATCAGTCAGGATGTGTCCCAGAAGTGGATTGGCAGCAAGCCAGGGCAAATTGCAGAGGTCTTGAAAAAGAAGGGTAAACACTGCCAATATTGATTCTTTGCATAAACGTAATATAATTGTCAATAAAAGCCTTTGACACTGAAATGTGCCTGCTGTACCATGTACTTGTATGAAAATGTATTCAGTTCTCGTTGTATTGGTTCCTTTGTGGGAAAAATCTGGTGTTCCTGCCAGTTCCTCTGCTTTCCTATTAAAAACTGACTATACAAGGCAGGAGAGCACAATGTGTTTAGCTCTCTAGCGGTGTTGGGAACACAGCCTGCTCTCCTCCAGTGATCAGACTTCAGCTGATATGCTACTCCCCACACATTGTAGTGACTTTTGAAATTATTTATCAAAACATAACCTTATTTCTGACAGCAAACCAGCCTAGCCATCTGTTAAGGGTTAACTTGTCTTGGTTGAAAATTCGAATGACCCTCCAGTTAAGAAATGTAAATAATGGGTGAAGGGATCTTTTCCTAGAGACAATAGGCTGTTTGACTATCCACAGGTAGTTTAAGACCGGACAATTCTAAGGTTTAAATTGGAGTCGATGAGACTAGCTAAAGTGTGGATATGTCAACAAATACTGTTTATATATTGGGGTTGAGTTGAATACATCTACAAAAGTTAAACAGACAGCCAGATGAGACATTGGACCTTCAAACATTGAGTCATCACACATAACCAAAAGACAATGATGAGACGTAAACTTAACTGGTTGAAAGTTTACCCAAAATCCTGTGGAGTGTGATGAACCAACAAACTTCTCGAATTGTCACAATATACTATTATCCACTAAGGTTAAAAGTATAAACGGTTGTTTACCCTGACTCAACACAATGGACAGGTAAACAGAGGGTCTTTTCTCCACATGGGAATTCTGGTTCTAACACAAAAAGGTTAAATTCAGGAAATATAAGGCTAAAAACTGGATATCTCTACCCACAGAGATATTAATAAAAAGCATATTATCAATGGGATGTTATAAAGAGTATGTTTCACACACCACGATAGATTCAGCAGAATGGGGATTGTATATCACTAACTTGAGTATTGAGATGAGGAAAAGTAAGATATATTGTGAATTAGCATCAGTTGTATGTCTTATCAGGAAACAAATGCTTTCACACAAGTTTGTATCTCAGGGAGATGAATAACCGAATATACACAGATATTCCATGGTTCCTATTTAGAACATTATAGCTATGATCACCTATATATATCTGGATAAGACGTATATTTAATACCTGAAATCACCTTGAGTTCCACCCGAGGTGTGAGTCATCATAAATACTCAAATTGTTCTATGAGCTCTGACTGCCACTTAGTGGACAGGTGAGAGATAGCTTAAGTACATACATTTTTCAACCAGCCAATCAAAAAGCCTGGTGGGAGGGTCTCTTAGAACAATAGTTTAGATGGTATAAAAACCCGTGCACCTCATTTAGAAAAAAAAAACTCATTAGAAAAAAAAACTCACTAAAGAACAAAAAAACTCATCGGAAAAAAGACCTAAGAAAAAGAACCTGGAAAAAGACCCTCGCTAAAAGAAAATCTGAAGACATCTGAAGAGACATCTCTGCAGAATATCCCCTCTTCCATCCTTTCAAACTTTTAAAAAACTTTCTCCTAAACTTCTAAAATCTCTGTACCTCTAACTTCCTACATTTTCCTGCACTATTGAACTATATCTCACTTTCCCCTGTGATCATTCTGAAGGCGTTCCATTGCCAGCTGGATCCACTGGGAGGTGTCATATTCCTAGATCTGGGTGTGGTGAGACTGTCCATTTAATTTTGTATTGTATATTTTCTCTGTTGTGTAGAGTAATAAGAATTACCTTAGAGTGATAACAACTGTATTGGGTGGTTATATATATATATAGAGAGATCCCGTATTACTGTTAGATATTGTTGGTGTCATATTACAAATATTTCATAAATTATTAAAAATTAGAGTATAATTTATCAGGGAATATCTTCTTCCATTGCTATGGCCACGTGATGAGAGAAAATAACCTCTGAAATACTCTAAAATTATTAGTTATTACTAGATTTAATTTTTAATCATCATTATCATTTAGAAAAATTGTTATATTGATTTTTCATTATTTAGAAACATTATATTGTGTATGATATTGGTATAGTATATCTTTGATCGTGTGTACCAGTATTCATTCATCACCAGTCTTTTGCGTTTTGTGTTAATATATATATAATTTTTGTACATAAATACATTTTTATATTTATCTATTATAAGGCAAATTTTGTGTGTATGGTACGAAATCATACTGGCTAAAAGGATTCAAGGTCTAATAATAAGTGGTGATCAAATTATCAAGGTGTCCAAATTATTGGTTCACTAAATATTTGCCGTATTTTAACGGCTGGAGGCACTGTAATATTTCATCTAAGGGAAAGGGACACCGCCCTTTACAAGTAGAATAAATCCTTACATAAACCACCACAACATACACACAGCCATTCACTGGGAAGATTAGTGTCCTGCCGTTTCTCCTCCCCTAGCTCTAATGCAGCTAAGAACAGAGGGTATATAATTGCTTATAAAAAGAGTAAAAAGGTTTTTTTATATGTATATACAAATGTTTTGCCTTTCATTACCATTTTAAACTTAATGGGTTGTTTTACAAGGTGAGGGGTTATAATCACTTTAAGATACTATTAAAAACTAAGCACTCACAGAGTGGGGGTAGGGTTATAGGAGTCCTTAAAAGATTGCCAGTGTCCAATCACCTGAAAGTACCATGCACATATTTACTTTATTCTGATGTGTTCTGTCTGGTCATGTGACATGCCAGGTCCTCTTCATCTCATGATCTAATCCAATGGTGGGAAGCCCCCAATGATGCAGAGAGCTGCATGATCACATTAGCACCGCTCTCTGCATCAATGCACTATGAATAAGGAGTCCAAGTTGAATGCTACTAGAAGCTACTCAACAAAGAAAGACAAAATAAAGGGCATTTTGTGGTAAAAAAAAGTACTGCAGGGGACAGCTCCGAATTCAAGGTGAGTGTTGCAGTCTAAGCTACATTTGATTAAACAAAAAATACACCACACTTGCCCAGAGTTGGTTTTAACATGCCCTTTGACAAGCAACATTCACATACCCAATCCACTATCAACGTCTTCTCAACATTGAATCTTTGTTGGATGATCTTGGCTGTAACTGCGATAGAGTTGAAGTAACAGAAACCCCTAAAAAAGTTGACAGGTTATTAAAACATTTTTTTTATTCTTGCACACTACAGAACTCTTCAAGTGGACTGAAAAGTGAGGATTTGCCATGTTATTGGAAGTATCTTGAGAAATGTACCCATAATAGTGCACCTTTTGTTTTACGATGGTACCTAGATGCTCCTGTTCTTACAGCCTTAAAGCTGTATGACAGCAGTGAAATCTAAGTCTCTGTTGCCTCTGACTGCTAGTCTCAGGAGATTTGGTGATGTCATTACTGTGCTGCTCATGATTCTCCTTACTGGAGGCTCTGATATGAGGAAGTAATTATTTGTCACTTCCGAAACCTCTACAAACATACAGTGAAGAACAAGGCTTGGTATGTCAGTAATAGGGAGGTATAATTTAGAGGAAGGCCACAGGTGATGCTGGTGACCAGTCATTTGTCCCCTGCCTTTTTTTTGGTCACAGTTTAGATCCTCCTGAACACAATTTGCATATGACCATGACTCAGTGGTGGAGTCTCAAATACAGTCATGTGACACACTGTCAGACACACACACACAACTATAGAGACCTTTGGATTAAAGCCAAATAATCTATCAGTATGTTTTGCAGTGTAGAAAGAAACTATACTGTGTTCTAATGGGAACTGACCTAAACAAGGTAAGCAATCAGAAAAACAACAGCTGAGGTACAAGTAATGTGAGGAAGACACTTACATAGGTGTGCTCTCTTCAGCATGGTGTCCAGGAGGGCGGACTACAGCAAAGCCATTCTTTGTAAATATGGAAACAAAAAAATTAAGTTACAACTCAAATAAGCAGATCATGGAACAGTGGCTTACAGATGACAGTCACAGTTGAAAAAATGTATACATCAGGAATCTAGTCCCTAAATACCAACTTATAAAAGATTTTAAGCTTCGTATATCTGAAAATTTGCCAATTTGGAAGCATAAAAAAACAAATAAAATAAGTTTAAACTAATATATGTTGGTCTGCCTAAGGAATAAATGTTGATGTCAAGCTATGTATTTATTGATGTGTGTATGGTTAAGAGTGAATAAATTGGGAACCCATTAATCATCAGATTTGACTTAATTTTTTTTTTTTTTTAAAAGGACAGATCCCACATTGATATTTAGATTTTGACTAGACCATGGAATCATGGACCTGGGAACCACCATCCAAGATTTGGTTCTCACAGAACCTAAGGAAGCGGGGGTGGATACCCATGAAATGCGTTGCCATTATTTCAGTGCTTCCCCCTAGTGGATCCTAGTTTCCATTTGGGAGCCTCACTGTTGAATAGAGGGGAATACATATTGACTGTGAAACACATGGAAATAAGTTTTATGTATCTATATTATTTAATATACCTGTAAAATGTATGATACCAAGTTCAAATTGCACTTGTTTTAACAGTTTTATAATAAAAGTTGTATTTTAACAGTAGCATATTTTGGTACAATTTTGGCATCCAAAGTCCCATAATTTGAAGAAACTGTGTTGGTATCACTGTGTGAAGGAAGAGCTGTCTAAAGGTGCAACACTTTGCCCAACATATGCAACTGATATTTGGCCCCGAATTTGACCTAAATAAAGCAGTGGTAGCAGAGTATCTAGCCAAGTAAGGCAGCCTTAAAGATCATACTTATTAACAAAGTATGGGGTCCTTTTAGGAGTTTTGATGTTAAGGCTGTGGTAAGGACATATATGGAATTAGAAGTGGAGGTTCACTTATCCTGTACTTCACGCGTCTAAATATGTACATCCAAGCTCCTTAACAGAAGGATGAAAAGGTGAATAGTTACAATTTCTTTTTACTAGTGATTTTAGCAGCAGCCTAATTTTTTTTAATGAACTGAGTATCCGATTCCATTCTTTAAGCAATACAAAAGCAATTCAATTTGAAAACCCTTTTCAAATAAAGTGTACAACTTTAGGGCCTTTTTCATAACTGTCAATACTGATTACACCACCTGACAGACTTATTCTGGCATCCATATAATAAAGTAAAATGTTACAATGCTGGCAAAAAGTAGTGTGAACATTATGGGATAAGCGGAGATTGTTTTATGCAGAAAATGTATTTGATTCTGAGCATACTATTCAGAGTTTGTTGGATCTGAACTTTAAATCACTGGTACAACCCCAATTCCAAACAAGTCGGGACACTTTGTAAAATCTACATAAAAACAGAGTGCAATGATTTGCAAATCTCGTAAACCCATTTTTATTCACAATAGAAAACATATCAAATGTTTAAACTGAGAAATGTACCATTTTAAGAAAAAAAAAAAAAAAGAATTTTGAAATTGATGGCAGGAAAAGGTCTTAAAAATGTTGGGAGAGGGCCATGTGTACCATGGTGTAGAATCCCCTTTTCTTAGAACACACTATAAATATCTGGGAACTGAGGCGACCACTTGCTGGAGTTTCGGGAGAGGAATGTTGTCCTATTCTTGCCTGATATAGGATTTCTAATTGTTCTACAGTTCTGGGTCGTCTTTTTCATATTTTTTTTTTTTTTAAGATGTCCCAAATATTTTCAATTGGTGAAAGGTTTAGAGTGCAGGCAGGCTTGTAGGCTCTTTAAGGTGGTTTGGTTTTTGTGGACTGCAAACTGTTGAAAACTTCAATTAAGTATTTAGGGGAAAAAAATCCTGGATTTATCTTTTAGCATTGATAGTGCCTTTACAGATGTGCAATGTGCCCATTCCATACACACTAATGCACTCCCATACTAACAGAGATGCAGACTTTTGAACTGAGCACTAATAGCAAGCTGGAAGATCCCTCCTCTTTAGTTCGGAGGACGTGGCTCCCATCATTGCCTAAAAGAATGTCAAATTTTTATTTGTCTGACCACAGAACAGTTTTCCACATTGCAACAGACCATTTTAAATGAGTTTTGGCCCACAGAACATAGCAATGTTTCTGGATCATGTTTAGTTATGACTTCTCCTTTGCATAATAGAGCTTGAACTTGCATTTTTGGATGGCGTGGCAAACTGTGTCCAAAGACAGTGATGCATGAGGGCCCATAGATCACAGGCATCCAATATTGAGTTTTGGCCTTGTCCCTTACGCACAGAGATTTCTTCAGATTTTTGGAATCTCTTGATGATTTTATGTAGTCTAGAAGATGATATATTTAAAGGAACATTATTCTGAAATTGTTTGGCAATTTTTAGATGCAGCTTTTTACAGATTGGCAAACCTCTGCCCAACTTCTGAGAAACTCTGCCTCTCTAAAATGCCATGTCTATACTGATTCATGTTACTGACCCATTGCTGAGTAACCCAAGGCCTCTTGCACATGGGAGTAATAAACACCATGTTTTTTTTACGGATTTGAAATTAGATGCATTATTGTGTATTGAACAATGCACAAAGCTGAGTAAAGATCAGTAATACAGTAATAAAAAAGAAAAAAAAAAAAACTTCTCCATGCAAGTTAAGAGCACATTATGAAAGACTTACCTCAAAACGAGTGCTGTCGTGACAGAGTGCCTCGCTCCCCGAGGCTTTCATCTTCACTGGCCAAGCCACAGTGATGTCACTCACGTGCGCTGAAGTCTCAGGTTGCAGCATGGCTCTTTCAATGGATGGCACACCATCCATTGAGAGCGCAGTAAATATGTGCCGGTGACATCACCTGCCTGCTGAAGTAAATATATCCTAAACGGTGCACATTTAGGAGATATTTACAGTACCTACAGGTAAGCCCTATTAACCGCTTCCCGACTGCCCTATAGCAGATATACTTCTACAGGGCGGCATTGGTGCTTAGAATCACGTATATATACATGTGATTTTGCATTTCTGGGTAGGGGGAGCGCGAGCGCCCTATCTGCTCCGCCATTCGTGGCCGCAGCTATCAATCACTGAGGCCTGGCCAGTGATTGCTGAATATTTCCGTCGGGGAGGAGAACGAACGCAAAAAATGGCCTTGTCAGGAAGGGGGGGGGGGGGGGGGGTAAATCCTCAAGAGGGCAAGTAGTTATAGGCTTACCTGTAGGTGAAACATGAAAAATGACTTTACTACTACTTTAAAACACTGGCAATGGAGAAAAAAAAAATGGGATTTTTTGTTACCGGAAAATTCCTTTCTCTGAGTTCATTGACAGACACAGTCTCTTCTTTTCTATCCATTACCCAACAGGGTTTCATAGTCCCACCTACAGGAGTAGGACACTAGGCAGAAAAAAAATTGGTACCTCCAGGTCTCCAGTCAATCACAAGCAGTGTCAAAGGAAAAAATTCCATATAGGGGAGATTGCTGTGTCAGTCAGTGAACTCAGAAAAAGGGATTTTGCGGTGACAGAAAATATTTTTTCTTACGTTCATTGACGGACACAGCCTCTTTTTTATCCATTACCAAACAGAGATGTCCACAAGCAGTGCCACAAAGAGGGGTGGACAAACCAACTAATGCAGGAAAAAAACCCAGGATATCTGCCAACACTCCGAACACAACTAGCATTGAAAATGCCAACACACCAACCTGACAGAACTTAGCAAACGCATGCACAGCAACCAGGCCGCTGCTTGCAACCTTACTCAGGCACCTTAGTGCCCATGAGTTAGTGCCCATGAGGCACTAACCGTCCTGGAGAAGAGTACTGTACCAAGGAAGGGAGATTCCTGTCCCTAAATGGCATATGCTTGCACAATCGCCTCCTGTGTTTAACAGGAAACAGTAGCAGAAGAGGACGCAAGACCTTTTATCTGACCGTCCGTGAGCACAAGGAAAGAAGCGAACCTCCTAAAACAACATCCGTCACAGAGAGGTACATATGAAGCACACCCAAGAAGTGCAGAGCCACCTCCTTAGAAAGTGATGTCCAATGTCACAGAGAAGTTAGAACAATTTTCTCTGTCAAGTTAAAATCCGAAACCATCTTTGGAAGGGAGGAAGGGGAAGGCAAGAGCATCCTTGTCCTTGAGGAAAACCAAATAAGATGGTAAACAAGATAAGGCAGCCGACTCCGCCATTCGCTGAGCGAAAAAGGAGAGGAGGAAGGCAACTTACTGCAAAAGAGTAGGAAAGGGAATATCCTGAAAGCTCCCAAAGGGAGGCATCTGATGAGCCGACAACACCACATTCAACTCCCACATTGCAAGGGGAAGCATGAAGTGAACACCACATGACGAACGCCCTGGGGGGGAAGGTGCGAACCAAAAGGTGCATGGCCAAAGGACACTGAAGGAAAACAGCTAGAGCAGAGCCTAGAGCCATGACCCTTGCACGTGCCAATGCAAGCTTCTGACTCACACCACGGTGAAGGCGGACCCACACCCGCACCACCGAAAAAAGAGCAAGAGCATGGAGAGAGGGAGAATGCATCTGCAGTTGACATCGCCGAAAGGCAGTTGGGGGGGGGAGATCCCGTAGGGACCGACCACCCCTGGGAGTACCCGCAACCCACACCACGTCCAGAAATGGAGGAGCGGGGGGCATCTACTTATCAAACCAGCTAGAGTGTGCAGGTAAGGCTCCCATGACAGATCCCCCTCTACACCAAAGTGGAGGGGGCTGTCGGCCAGGGATAATACTGTGACTATAGGCGCCCAGTCATATGTATAGAGATGGGGAATCGTCGCGGCTGACCGAGAATGGAGCTAGCAGTCTGCGCACGCTCACTGGTCAAACTGTTGTGACCACTGGATCTAGATTGTCCAGCCCATCTGTTGATAGAAGATCTCCGCAGGAAAAGAAACAATCCCAGGAAAAAAAGATAAGAAAAAAGCCATGGGACCAATAAGATCACGTCCATACTCCTGAAGACATTAGGCAAATGACTGTAGACCTATAGCAGAGAGGGGGTGTTATGCCTAGAGAGGACTGCCCAATTTTTTTCTGCCTAGTATTCTACTCCTGTAAGTAGGGCTATAAAATCCTGTTTGGTAATGGCTAAAGAAGAAGAGACTGTGTCCATCAAAAAAACGTAAGAGAAATTTTACTCGTTTATACGCTTACGCACCTATACTCAATATTACTCAAGGTCTTTACGCAGTTTTTTTTTTGTTTTTTTTTTTACTCAGGGTTTTTCTGTTAACAAGTTCCTGAGTAAACATCAGTAAATTATGACGCCCATGTGAAAGGGGAGCCTAATTAGTTGCAAAATGTTTTTCCAGCTCTTTTACTTAGCATCCAAACTTTTTTGGAATTGGTGTTTTAAACAGACCTTCAGTAATAAAAAAAGGGCCTTTTTGCATGCTGATTCTTTAGGGGAGGATGTAGTGGGGATTATACCATGTTCAAGCACATACCTTTAGCTCTCCTGCCACAACCTTTGAGGCAAGTTCCACTACACACCCCACAGCAAGGCGGGCAGCGCCAGAAGAATGTACTTCATTCCAAATTGTGTCACTGTCAACCTGGCACAAAAGAAGAACATGTAATTTATGGATCTCAGAAACCTTGCATATGCTACATACAGACATGCAGATACGGAATATCTGACTGCAAAATAGGATTTTTACATTCAAGGTAAAATCTGCTTCTTGGAGTCCATTGAGGAACTCCTCCTACAGAACTGGAAATTGGCAAAAAAAAAAAAAAAAAAAAAAAAAGTAGGCCAGCCTGGATAATCCCTCCCACTAAAAGCAAACCTCAGTTTGGTAGCAAAGCAGTCAGGAGAGCATGAACATAAAATAGGAAGGTGTGGGACTCCCAATGGTTGCCAAGAAAATGATGTTAAGGTGAATACAAAAAAAAAGAAAAGAAAAAAGGAATTTCAGCTTACCAGCAAATTCCATATCTTGGAGAACAGTGCAGAACACAGGGAAGGCAGTCAAAGACCATGTGTCAATATGCAGTTAACTTAGGGTGACTGGACAGTGGCAAAAGCTTTGCTGGGGACACCCCAGTTGACCCCTACCCACTCCCTTGGACTCCAGTTTTCTAGCAAGCAAAAAGGAGAAACAGAGAAAAGATAGGAGGGACCTGTGTCCTGTAGTGGACTACAAAAGAAGGAGTTTACTGGCAAGAAAAAATTCCCATTATCCTAAGCATACAGTACAGAACAGGAAGTAGTAGATCATGAGACATCCCCAAGCGATAAACTAAGGGGGAACAACAACATCACAAACAGAAACCAGCCCACAAAAATTAAGGGTCAACAAACTGAAAAAACTCAAATGACAATATGAAGCACCTTATGGCTGGAAGCCCACATCAGCTGAGGTTTGAAAATCCACTGGGTAAAACTTTGAGAAGTGTGAATAGAACACTAGGTGGCCTTGCAAGCCTGCAAAACTGATGCTTGATGATGAAAGGTCTAAGAAGCACAGGTAGATCTGGTGGACTGAACCCTGACAGGAAATGGAAATGAGCTGCCTGAGCCTAGTATTGGTGGAAAAGGAAGCAGGATGCCCCTTCATGGAAGACTGTTTAGTTTTTCTGGAGGAAAGGAAGGAATGAAATCTCCTTGGCATGTTTTAAAGTAGGACATAGAGAAAGGAGGACAATGTCTTCACTGAGGTGATAGAAAGAGACCACCTTGGAGAGGAAAGAGGGCCTGTGTCTCAGGACCGTTGTACTTATGTATGACAAGAAAAGGCTTCTTGCAAGAAAAGGTTGTCAACATGCACACACCTAAAGCGAACCAAAAAGGCCAACTTACTTGTGAGATTCCCCACTAAATATCCCAAAATGGTTAAAGGGAGGTTTTAAAGAACTTAAATGCCAGATTCAGATCCCAAAGAGACACAAATCGGAGTTGGGGATTAACATGAACAATTTCTTGTATGAGGTTTTGACAAGAAGTAAACAAAGGTTTTTAAAGAATAAGCCAGAGATTTCTTTAGATAATCCCAAAGAGACACAGGAGGTCGGAGTTGGGGATTAACATGAACAAATTTCTTGTATGAAGGTTTTGACAAGAGAGTGGAAGAAAAGTCAAAGGTTTTTGGAATAGAGTGAATAAGCAGTTTAGGGATAATTTTCACTGGAGTAATTTGACCAAAAGCCCACGGAATTACCAGGGCATTTTACAGCAAAGGGAATCCTTAGACCTAAGACCAAAAAACTGGCTAGTTTCTTGTTGAATCTGGAGGTTCCTATCCGGTGTTCACCATTTGATAGAGAATCAGGAAGATCTCAGAGTTGAGCGCCCATTCCCCTAAGTCACATGTATTGACGACCTAAGCAGCAACACACTGTGGGAAAACCCCACCAAAACATTACTCATTACCAGCATAGTAGACACTATGCAGAGGGGGATAATAGAATAAAGTGAACAACCGCCCACATGTAAAAACAGAAATCAGTCATGAATACAGGGAAAACCTATTTTACCTTACCAATGTTACAAGTTCCCAAAAGGGACCATCATGGTGGGCATACCCCCAAAGGGGACTTCAGGGTCTACATTCCATAGATATGGAATATGGGACCCTGGATCTGTATTAATATAGTACACTGCAGCTAACTATAATTGTTGAACCACATACCAAGCAGAAAGCTGAATGCAGGATCCAGTGCCCAAAGCAAATACTACAGGCCGGCATCACTGGTACAGTTCGCATGAGAGTAAACAATCCAGAAAGTGCTAGCGAAGCCCTAGGCAATAAAAACATTTGGATCTTAATAGAAGTGTCAGTCGAAGTAGTGGAAAAAAAAAAGAAAGCTTAAAAAACTGGCGTCACACAAGTGGGTGGAATTATATGAGGGTGCACTGTGGATGTTCCTAGTGTCCTGTCACTTGAAGATAGAAACATATAAGCCATGGGTCTATGATTTCCTGTCCTGTGTCTTGTTCTGTATGATTCAGAGTTCCTATTTTCTTTCTCATTCTTTGAAATTAACAGAAGTCTTTTACCTTAGGGATCTCCAAAAGCAGTCCAAACTGGTGAGGTGGGCAACAGGGCATACAAAAGCTAGGCCATAGAAAGAACAGAACTGGTGACAGCCTGGAGCTCAAAGAGGCGGAGGGCAAACACTTTTTTACTTGCTGTATTTTGTGGATGGTAAAAATACTTGGCACTTGTTAGCTGTTATAGCTAGTTCCCACAACTCACCAAAATATCTTGCCTCTATTGTAGATACCAGGGGTGCCATCACCCATAACCCTTTACAAATTCAGGTGTCTTCCAGAACTATTACACTGATCTATATTGTAGTAAGGTCAGGGCTTTTTTTCAGCGGGAACACATGGGAATGCAGTTCCAACATCTCCAGTACTCCATCCTCCCTCATTGTCTACTATCTCGATATTTGGATTTTTTCCCCCTTAGATGCTCAACAGGTGTGACGCCTCCCCGTTGTGCACGACAAAATAAAAGAGTGTCCTCTTTCAATTACTTAGGGGTCTGGGTTCATCTCAAAGTAAAGGATTATTTACAGTGTAACCTACTGCCTCACCTGGAAAAATGTAAACTTATATACAAAGCATGATGTAAACTTTGGCTGTCTGTGGTAGGACAGGTGAACCTTATCAAAATGATTTGGGCACCGCAGTTGTTATATGTCATGCCCAATTCACCAGTATGGATTAATTTACAATAGTTTAAGAAAATAGATTCTCTTTACAGAATCTTACTTTGGAAAGGTAAAAATCCAAGAATCTGTCTACCTAATTTACAATTACCCAGAGATGGTGGGGATCTAGCCATTCCATCTGCGAGACTGTACTTCCTGGCTGCTCAATTACAGCACTTTGCTGGTTGGGGCACCAGGAACAGATTCATACAGATTCTATTCAAGCTGTTCTTTTGTCACAGTCTTGTAGATATCCTGTTTTGGCGCAATTGGAGGTGGGCAGGCGGGCTTTGGGACTGTCCTCATCCTACCTTAAACCTTACATCCAAGGTTTGGGATGAGATGAAGCGCATATTGAGGTATGATGGGGTCTCAAATTATTTACCTATTTGGGAGGTAAGCCGCTTAGAAAAATTAAATAAATTGTAGGGTTTTGATGACTGGTACTCTAAGGCTGTCCAGTTACTATTTCAATTATATGCTAATGATCACTTACAATCCTTCCAGAATATACAATGGGAATTTGGTATGCCCTCTCATAGGTTTTTTCAATACCTCCAACTCCATCACGCCCTTTCCACCCAATTTAAACAGACTACTTTCAGATTGATTGTTACACCAATTATTTCTCATTTCTTCCATGTATAAATCACTATTGGATAGTTCCCATGATAATCAACAACTCCCAGGCAGGAAAGAATGGGATAAGGATATTGCTGGCTTAGATGGAGAGGTATGTCAAGCTGTGTTGAAAAAGGTATTACTTGTGTGCCTTTCACCAACACAACGGCTATCCCAACTTTTTGTCATACATAGGGCTTACAGAATGGCACAAACTACACCAATGGCAATATAGAGAGTATCCAGACTGTGGAGGATCCCCTGCGGATCTGATGAACATGCTCTGGAAATGCCCTAAATTGGTGCGCTACTGGCATCATGTTATTAACACTACAAATATGGCATTCCATATGCAACATAACCCACTGACTTGTATACTGGGATTTTTGCATGAGGAATTATATACACCTCAGGCCCGAACCTCTAGATCTAGAATGTTCTTTTTGGCGTGCAAATGTATTATGTTAAAATGTCTTTCCCCTCTTCCTCCTACATTTGATGGTTGCTTAAAGAAAAGCATATTCTATTGCAAAGGGGCACTCCTCATAAGTTTCACAAACTACAGGATCCATGGCTGCAGATTCCATGGTTATCCCCTTTAGCATTATTATCTATGTAGATTCTTCAATATTGATTTTATTTATATTGATACATATATTGGAATGCCTAGTGTGTAACACTGGCAGCTGTGGGTGGATGGGAGACATCACGAGTATGCATGCTTTAGTTGAGAATAGTTTGCTACCTGTACTGGATTGAGCAGTGGTTATGCTGCTTTGTCTTTTATCCAGGTTTGACATTTAATACACATTTTTTTTTTGCTCTCAATTGCGTATTTGTGCATAGAGGGAACTCATTGGCAATAGTTATGTTCTATGATGGCTGAAGTAAACCTACTGATTTATATGTATGTTCTTTTTCCTGTTACTTTGACAACTAAACCAGCTTGTATTGTGGTTGCTACTCTAGATATCTGTATTGCAGGACAACATGACCTCTGCTTATTTGCAGTGATTGTTTTCTTGTATTGTGGTTGCTACTCTAGATATCTGTATTGCAGGACAACATGACCTCTGCTTATTTACAGTGATTGTTTTCTTGATTCGGCTCTCTTTTTTTGTAAACCTGTCAAACGCTGAATAAAAAATATATGAAAAAAAAAAAAAGAAAACATGAACAGAAGACTAGGTGGAAGCTTTGCAAATTAGGGAAACAATTGCTTGATGACAAAAATGTCCAGGAAGCATTTACAGATCTAGTGGAGTGTGCTCTGACAGGAGAGAGTGGTGCCCGATCCTGGAAACCATAAGCCTGGACAATGGTCTGAGTCATCTAGAGATAGTGTAGGGAGAAGTTGGTTCACCCAATGCAAACCATTTGAAATATTAAAGAGTAAATCAGTCTTTCTGAAAGAAGCTGTAGCTACTAGGTGCCTAGAGCTGGATAGAGGGATGAACAAACAAAATCCTGGTTGAAATTGAAAAGGTAAACTTACCTTAGGCAAGAAGGAATTCCTGGACCTCAACACCATCTTGTCCTCGTGCAAAACCAGAAAGGGTGAAAGAGTATCTCTGATAAATTCAAATGTTGGTTTCAGAACCAAGCAGAGATCTCAGAGTCACAAAGGAATGACCTGGAGGAGCTGCATGGGACATTTCCTGTAGAAAGGTCCTATTTAAGCAGCTAGAGACCAAAAGTCTCTGAAATAAGATTGAAAGGTCAGAAACCTGGCCCTTTGTATTGCCGAGAGCCAAATGCTGAAAGGAGTGATTCGCCCTACAGAAAAACTCTTAAGAGTGGAAGCCCTGAAACTCACACCAAGTGAAATATGACTTCCATATTCAATGATAGGCCTTGTGGCTTTTAGTATCACAGGAATCAAAGATTTAGACATGGCTCTGTGTTTCAAAACGTTGACTTCAAAAGCCATGCCATTAGAGCCAGCCAGTGAACCAGGATGGTAAATCATTCTTTGATCAAGAAAATTCTGATGATCTGGAAGAGCCATTGAGCAGCAGTACTGATTAAAATTCAAGGAGGTCCGGTCATTAAAATGTTCTTCTGCCCGAGGTTCGAGTCTCAAGCTTGTGCTATGACAGAGTGCCCCCTTACATCAGGTGTCCCCATCAGAGTGCCCACTTACATCAGGTTTCTACAGCAGAAGGCCCCCTTAAATCAGCTGTCCCCATCAGAGTGCCCCTTTCCATCATATTTCCCCTTCAGAGTGCCCCTTTAATCACATGTGCCCATCGGAGTGCCCCTTTCTATAGTAAGTTCCCATCAGCGTGCCCCTTTCCACAATAGGTACCCATCAGAGTACTCCTTAACAAAAAATGTGCCCATCAGCGTGCCCCCACAACATAAAACTTGCCCATCAGAGTGCCCCTTATTGTATTTGTTAAGAGACACTCTGATGGGCACATTTTATGTTAAGGGGCACTCTGATGGGTACAACATAGTCCATCAGAGTGCCCCTTAACAAAAAAAATTATGCCCATCAGCGTGCCTCTGTGAATCTTTTTTGAAGCAGAAACAAACCCAACCTTGAAGGCAGGCAGGGAGCGGGAGCTGGCAGAGGTAGCGAGCTGCAGCGGGAAGAAGAACCTTGCTGAAGGCGGCGGGGTGCACAAGAGACGTCACATCATACCCTACAGGCAGACAGGGAGCGGAAACAATGCCGAGCTGCAGGGGGCGGGATGCACACGTCGTCATTGGTTGCTGGGATGCTTGCGGTCCCAGCAACCAATGACTGCTGAGCGGCGGGGATATGGCACTTTAGTCTGGCGTGCCGACGGTCTGTACTGTAGTCCATGTTCGGACAACGGTCTGCCATTTAATGACTGTTGCCACAGAGCATTTGCTAGTCTTGCTAGGTTGCTAGGTCAGCGTACCACACCTGGCTGGGTCAATTTTTAGTTTGCAAACTAATGCACCTATGATAAGTGGATCGGAGGTGCAAAGTCAGGCTACTGCACACTCTGACTCCAGCTTTCTGCCCATACCTCTGTATAGGCTTTCCGTTTAAAAGCTGAAGAAAGTGTGAATGCACTATGAGTGCACTGATCTCGCAGTCCATAAAAACTACATGCCTGTCTGTTGCTGTGGCAATTTATTCATTCACAGATCTTTGTGAATGAATGACATGGCTGTGCAAGTGGAGCCCTGCACAGCCATGCCAACTTTAAATGTAACAAGAGAGTAAACCTCAACCACTATCACAGAGAAGGGGGAGGGCTAAGAGGGGGAAAGCAGGGTAAGGTGCAGAAGATGTTACACCCTAAATACTGGTGTAACATGTAACATTCAGAAGGTGAACTTATCCTTTAATGTATTAAGCACACTGTAAAGTATTCATTTCAAGTAGAACTATAGGCAAAAAAATTCAGTTTAAGTAGAACTATGGGCAAAACTTTTTTTTTTTTCATTTCGGACAGAGTAAGGGAAGGTTATAACCCCTGCCAGATTTTTTTTCGCCATTTGTGTCCCATTGCAGAGATTTCCATTAATTTCCTGTCCCGTAGCTAAAAAGGAAGTGAGAGGAAATCCCTGCAAATTAAAGGAATCCAGGTAACTGGAACTATTGTCCTGATTGGAAGATTTCCCCTCGTACTTTCCTGGGGACAACACAAAGTTTGGGATTTTCTTTTACTTTCTCTTTCAAGGATAATGGTAAATAGGACATAGAGGGTGAATATCCTTAACAGGGACACGGACAGAAATAAAAAACTGACAAACATTCTAATCCATCTCCACTCTATCCAAAACCAAAAAAAAAAAAGTTTTGCTTTTAGATATACTTTACGGTGAATTAACTAAAAGTAGAGCATGCTGCCTCAATAAGGAAGAATCAATTTTCATTGTCTGGACGTAATAGCTGTACAATGAAATTGGTCTGAAAAAAAAGAGTCTCTCCAGCGAAGGCATAGATTCCATGTCTGATAGCGGATCTGCAAGGTGGTCCCCTGAATGAACCACTGAATTCCAACATGTCTGTGTTGGATTTACCAGGTGAGGGGCAATACAGATGTTGAAAACCCCTGAGTGAAAGCTAGCCCTCAGCTGTTACACGGCCCACCCTCTAAAGGAAAACCCCCTTTACACTAGTTTTCTCTAGATTGCAGTCATATTGGTGGTGGTAGGGGGTTGTTTAGGGTCCTGTCAAGACTAGTGATGGCATAAAATGAACTGGCACAGTTACAGTTGAATGCCAGGATATAGTGAGTTTCACACACATTGATTAGCGAATCACTCACACCACAGCTGATACACAGCTGACCTCACACCTATCAGATGCAGTGTGAGTGACACAATAACCCAAGTGTGTGAAACTCGCTCTTTCCTTGCTCCCAACTGTAACTATAAAGCAAGCCCAGAAGTAAAAAGTTTTAACTCACAAAATTGTCAGTCAGTTAAGCTGCTTCTGTAGAAAACACCACACATGCAAACAGAGGAAAACCTCAACACACAGCATAACCCCAATAGGTACAGTAATTCTTCAGAGGTGCAGACCAGAACACTGCCACCACTCTGGTCCAATAACTCCATAAAGAGTTCCCTGACATACCGGCCTGACCTGAAAGCAGAGTCTTGTGCTAACTGGAACACAGACAGGTAGCAACTCTGGAATGCAGGACAGTTGCAGAGAGACCACCAATATACTTAATGAATCTGGGAAAACTTGAGCTCGCCAACTAACTGAAGGGGCGTATTTGATGTCCATCCTGAATCTACCAGTAAAAGTTGATAGAAAAATCTTCCAAACAAAAAAGAGAACATTAGAATTAAAAAAACCCCATCCATTCTCCTTTGGACAACAGCAAAAAACTGGGGCATGCTGGTAGCAGGAGAGATGTTATTCAAGCTGGCTTATAGTTTTTGATTGCCAGTGTGAATTTCTCCTGTAGGTGGCAGTTTAAATCAAGGTAAATACTTCTTATGTTACTCAAAAGGCAAGAAAGAAATTACAAGTTACATACATCTATTTCTGTTACTAGATTTTTTTATTACACAAATATCCACTTCAATAGTTATATGCATGCCTTGACTTGAATGTGAAAAGCCTCAATACCAAAAGGATATAAAAACAAAGTGCCATGGAAGCAACACAGTGAACACTCACCCCAACCCCGCCACACGGGAGACGGACGAACATAGAGGTCAAAGATCCTGCATGAAGAAAGGGGAATGGTTAGTGGAGAGAGTTAGTTGCATCAGCACATATAAGGACCTAATACACAAATCACAAAACAGAATTCTGAAGTCAACAAAACAATATCACGCTAATGGCTATACTTCAAGTAGTACAAACCTCAACACTTATAGAATAAAGTGCAAATGCAGTATTTTTTTTTTTTTTCTTTTTAAAGATTACAAGGTTGGAAATTTAAAAGCATTTGACATGAAAGAGGTTTAAATATTTACCTGCATTCCTTACACACAAAATCAAGAGTAGGGTTTGTATCAGGTATATGTATCATACTAAACCTGAGAAAGGTTCCATTGTTTTACATTAAACACAAACATGATATCAAGGCAAGAACTTACCCTCCAGTTTTTGTCGATTCAAAGGGTTGGTGCCATAGAGCAGTGTATGAGCCTCAGAATGGACAGTCTGCAACTCCTCCAAAGTGGCTTTTCTGCCACGTATACACTGCAAGTAATTAGGGATACACAAGTAAAAAGCATAAAAGGATATAACTGGCCTGTAGCACCATGTCAGAGTAGTAATCACAGTCACATGAAGGAAAGAAACTGCTAAAATCACAAGCAGAAATGGGAAGAGGCTAAAGTAACTACATTGGAAAATTTGACAGCGGGATTCAAATATGTAATTTCCGTAAAATATACAACCAAATATATAGCATGTCATACCAGTAAAAAAAATCTTATATATTAAAAAAATTATTATTTTTATATATATATATATATATATATATATATATATATATATATATATATATATATATATAAAAAACAGGTTTCCATTTTTTAATGTTTTATGAAGCTGTAACAATTATATGCTTGTTGATAAAATTGGTTTAACTGACCAATCATTATTTTTCTGTACATAGAGCTAAATACTCACCTCACACATGGTCCTCAGACCAGTCTCTTGCAGCCTTGACCAGATGCTTTGAATTCGGCCAGCATGCTCTGGATGGATATTTGTGTTTCCACAGATACACTGATGTTTAAGCATCAACGTGTCATACACAAGACCTGCAATAATTTCAAAGGTCATACTGGAAAGCATCAGTTAACTTGATATTAGAATTCATAAAATAACCAATTTCAGAGTAAAGTACCTGTAGTGAACCTGGGCTTAGTGGGAGTTTCCTGAACGGACATGGGAAAGGAAGCAGAGGCTGGTGAAGACTGTGCCCTTGACAGAGGTCTGTGCCCACTAAAAGGCATAACTAATCCAGCAGCTTCAATGGAGGCCTGATAGTTCCTCAGCTGATGAATTCTTTGCTGTTCAAGTAGTAGTGTTTGCTGTAGATAATAATCATAGGAACCTTGGATATCTATTTGGTGGTTTTAGGAAAGTAAACAAAGTATAATAAGCAAAATGTAATACCTGTCTGAACAACAGATCCTGCTCAGCCTGTAATTTATTCTGCTCTAGCTCATGCGTATTTGACTCATCCTCACTTTCTTCTCTCTCCTGCTTCACCTGCACAATACTGCCAAGGTTTTGCTCCTTGAGCTTGGATGCATGTTCTACATATGGCTCTTCATGTAATGCTTGGTGCTCACGCAGCTCTTCCTCAGTCTCCTCAGGATGGCTTTCATGCTGTCGTGAAACCTCATTTACTTTAGGAATCATCTAAAAATAAAGGGCAAAATAAATGACAAAGTGAAAGACACAAAGAAAGCTTAAAAAGGGCCAAAACAAAAAAAATTTGCTAACAGGAGGAAGAATAATTGTTTCTCGTTTTCTATTAAAGGTCTTAATTTACACAAGGTGAAGAATTATTACTTTCAGCTGTTATTATAGTGTTCAAATCTCTCAAGACTCGGCTGAATTAGACAGTTTTTAAAAAAAGGTCCTCATCTTGGTGTGTTTTCTTTGTGAATTGCGAGCAAGCCTTCAGTAGTGCAATTCCCGTTGTGTAAAAGTGGGTCAAGCTGCCTAATGGCTTCTTCTCTCGAAGATTTTGTTGGCATTTACCAAGATAGCTCCCAGCTAGGTATTTGCCAACTTTGAGAGTCCCACTGTTTGTATGCCAAATTGCTTTTCCGAATTTGTATTCTCTTTTACAAAATTGTATTGACATTTTAAATCAGTAGGTACAGTTTAGGAGAAACATTTGCATACAAAGCATTAGTTAAAGAGAAACTGAAAAGCAACAAGAAAGCGAAATTCTACAGTAACTGAGTAGGTAAATAACCGCTTTAGAAGATACAAAGGGAAAGTGTACTGGCAAACTGGTCTCAAGTATCAAGTGATTTCATGGGGGTAGGAGGATGGAGTGAAGTGTAACAAACAGTAGAGAGAACTCCCATGTTGCTTGTGCAGTTTGTATAAGCAGAACTAGCATACACAGGCATCAGTAAGTAGGGTTGCACTGATACCAGTTTTTTAAGAAGGAGTACCGATGCTTTTTATCAGGTACTCATCGATACCTATTTTCTGAGCGGTGCAATTTGAGCTCATACAAAATGAATGGGCTCAACTTGCACTACAAAGAATCACGTGTGAACAGGAATGCGGTGCAATACCTGTCCGAATCAATTGCGGTTTCCCTCACTGCTCCTCTGTGAAACCAGGCTGTAGTCACTATAACAAGCCTGAGTTCACACAGGAGCAGTGTGAGAAACTGACTACCTGACTCCTACTAACTCTGACTGGAAAGTAATGCACATCTCCTGGGAAGTGATCTCCAGCCCTCAGTACAGTCCCCCACACACAGTATAATGTAGATCGGTGGATCCTCCTCACCTCTCCATGTCCTCATTCATTAGGCTGATCAGGGCTCTCCCCAGCACCGGACAGTACTGTTTTGGGGTACCTCCACCCAGCTGCTCCTCAGTATCACTCGCAGGGAGAACCAGAACACCCGACATACCTTCGTCATCTGCACTGAGCACCGCCACTCCATCACATTCCCTCATCAGAACCCCCCTACATTAGATTCCCCCATCATAGCCCTCCTACATTAGATTACCAAATCAGAGCCCCCCTACATCAGATACCCCATTAGAGCCCCCCTTACATTGAATTCCCTCATCAGAGCCCCCCTTACATTGAATTCCCTCATCAGAGCCCCCTTACATTATACTCCTCCATACATCAGATTGCCCAATCAGAGCTCCCATACATCAGATTGCCCCATCAAAGCTCCCATACATCAGATTGCCCCATCAGAGCTCCCATACATCAGAATGCCCAATTAGAGCTCCCATACATCAGAATGCCCCATCAGAGCTCCCATACATCAGATTGCCCCATCAGAGCTCCCTTTACATTGAATTCCCTCATCAGAGCCCCCTTACATCAGATTCCCCCATACACCAGATTTCAGTTATTCTTATTTTTACTCGATGTTTGCTGGATACTGTTTTGTAATTCACGGATTCATTGATCTCGCTTAAAGAACTGCATGAGGTTACACTCTGTATCCTTTAAAAAATCTTTTAAGTGAAAGGGACATTTAAAATGATAGAGCTGTCACCAGAAAAAGAGTAGAGGGTAAATCTTTGAAAGGGGTGTCAGGAAAATCTCCCCAACAGGACACAAACAGTATAAAAATAAACTGACAGTGGTTGCTATCTTTTCCTAGGCTATACAATATATATAAAAAGTTTTGACTATACAGTTATTTAAAAAAGCAAATTAATAAAAAAAAATTTTGATTTCCATCTAAACTCCATATTTTAGAGTAAAGTGCAGGAGACAGGTTTCATATTCATAGAACATGCTAAAGCTGGTTCCTTCAGGTGATTAGGCACCACCAAAGCTTTTGAGGACACGCTTCCTGGGCATCCCCCTATAGCTCTGTCCCACTAAGTAAGTCCTCATATTTTTGGCAAGCAATGCAGAGAGTTACACAAGAAAAGAATGGAGTGTGGTTTCTGTTGTGTACTATACTCCATGATATGGAATTTATAGGCAAGTCAAAGTTCTTTTTATCCTATTCACACAGGCTTGATATTCATGGACCCTGGGATGTCCCCAAGCAATAAAGAATGGTAGGCAAAAAGGCAAACAGATCTGTGTCAACCGATGCAAATCAGAGTGCTTCCGCAAGAACTTTGCAATCACAAACTGCATCCAAATAAGACTGTATGTGTGCCTTGTAGAACTTTGAAAAGCTGTGTGGTGCCTTTATAAAGCTAGGCAACAAAGGCTTGATGAAACTCCTACCAATCTGGCAAGTGAGTGAGGAAATATGAATACGAGCTGTTTTTTCCTTTAGGCTTTAAAGGATAAGCTCACCTTTAGTAACAAGTTACACCCATATTTAGGGTGTAACATGTTACTAACTGAGCTCCACCCACCTGGCAGTGTCATTCCTTCAGAGTTCTGAGGGAGAACTACAACTACCATCAGTCAATGCATCTGATGGCTTATATTTCTCAATGAACTACCTGATGAACACTCTAGGTAGTTCATTGATCCTTCCTCTCATTCAGTAATTGCCTGCCTGTACGAGGTATGGGCATACAGCTACACTGACAGTCTGCATGAGCCTGGGATTACAACCGCCACCTGCTGATTGCAGGTGCAATGCTTTACAGGCTCCTAATAAAATAAAAATTATAAATGCCCCATTTTTTACCTTTATTTTTTTTTTTTTTAAGGTGAACTTATGCTTTAGCTCTTGGGAGTTGTTGTCTTATCAAACTGGCAATGGTGGATCTTGAAGTAGGCCATCCCTTGTGAGGTTCCAAGGGTTGGATAGATAGGGAGACCATTTTCCTTAGACGGGCTGTAGCTTTGGGTGATTTGGAGCAGGGGACAAAGAAAGAAGGAATATGTCTTCATTGAGGTTGAAGGCTGACACCACCTTAGGAAGAAAGGAGGGTCATGGTGTAAGACTACTTGGGCCTTGTGAAGTATGAGGAATAGCTCCTTATAAGAAAAGCTGCTCAGGGACACATCTGAGAGATGTGATAGCCACCAAGAAGGCCATCTTTCAGGAGAGATCATCCAAGGCGAGTTAACAGATAAGATTCAAAAGGTGGCTTCTGCAAGGCAGAGAGAACTAAAGTTAGGTCCCAAGGAAGTCCAGGGTTATTTTAAGGGTGGTTTGATCTGAAAAACATATTTTATAAAGGCCTTTAACTACTTGCCAACTGCAGATAGCCGAATGACAGCTACACTGCGGCCGGCCAGTTCTGGGAGGGCGTCAGAACACGCTCGCGCGCACCCAGCAATCTCTCCGTGATCGCTGTGTCCTACGGACACAGCTGATCACGTGATGTGGCAAAAGGCCAATCACAGCGGCCTTTTACCACATGATCAGCCTTGTCCAATGACACGCTGATCACCGGGAAATGCAATTGCCGGTTCTCAGCTGCACTTTCCTCACGCTGTCAGAGCGTGAGGAAAGTACTGCTGAGAACCGGCAGTTGTCAGAGCAGGGATCGGCACCAATCATCAGGGCACTAATGATCAGTGCCCTGATGATCGGTGCCCAGCAGTGCCTCCCACCAGTTCCGCCCACCTATGCCCAGCAGTGCACCCTCCTGTGTCCAGCAGTGCGCCCACCTGTGCCACCCAGCAGTGCCACCTACCTGTGCCCAGTAGTGCCACCCACCTGTGTCCACCAGTGCCACCCACCAGTGCAGCCCAGCAGTGCTGCCAGTCAGTGCCCAGCGGTTGTGCCAGTCAGTGCCCAGCAGTTGCGCCAGTCAGTGCCCAGCAGTGATGCCAGTCAGTGCCGCCTATCCGTGACACCTCATTAGTGCCGCCTATCCGTGCCACCTCATTAGTGCCGCCTATCAGTGCCCATCAGTGCTGCCTCATCAACACACATCAGTGAAGGAGAAAAATTACCGGTTTGAAAAATTTTATAATAGAAACAAAGAAACTTTTTTTTTTTCACATTTTTTTTGCAATTTTTTTGTTTATAGCGCAAAAAGTAAAGTGCCCAGTGGCGATTAAATAACCCCAAAAGAAAGCTCTATTTGTGAGAAAAAAAATGATAAAAATTTCATATGGGTACAATCTTGCATGACTGCGCAATTGTCAAAGTGCGACAGCACTGAAAGCTGAAAATTGGCCTGGTAAAGAAGGGGGTATAAGTGCCCGGTAGGCAAGTGGTTAAATAGAAAGCAATATCACTGCTTTTTGGAAAACAATGGGCAAGAAACCTGTCCCTTGACTACTTAAGGCCAACGTCTGGTCAAGCCCCAATTGTAAGAATGCCAGAATGCGAGGTAGAGTCATCTCTGGAACTGAAGTGCCTTTGTTCACGTCAGACTAGCAAGAATTTCCAGGTACGATAACAGGAATTTCCAGAAGTGGCTCTTTTCTTTTAGGAATGTGGGAATAACAGACTCAAAGACCCCTCTGTTCCTTAAAGCCTGAGCTTCAAGGGCCCATGCTGTTACGGCCAGTGACAGGGCTGCTGCTTCCACTAAGCAAACTAGGCGGCTGCCTAGGACGCAGTGCCAGCTAGGGGTGCCAGGGCATAGCACAGGTCGGCACACTCTCTGTGTGGGATGCTGCCACGTCATGAACAATCCTTCAGCTGAGAGGAGAGGCGGCAGAAAGGGGGGGAAGAAAGGACAGTGTAAGATGCCGGGTGTCTGGGGCCAGTGTAGCAGCTGATTTGCAGCTCCTTTCAGTGTTCCTCTCAGACTCCGTACCTTACTGCAAGTCGGCTGGCAGCTGCTAATCACTGAGGAGTTCTAGCTCTTGTCTTCCCATTCATCAGTGGAGGTGAAGGTAATGTCGGACTCTGATGTCTCGTGTCAGTGTGACCCGGCTGGCAGGACATCAATCACATATGCAGTGCGTCAGCAAGTGATGACATCACGATCCCACGGCCTGCTTTTCTATTGCCTGCTGATCTATGTCAGTTTTGGTGGTGGTGTGTTGTGTCGGATCGGTCACTGTGTGAGATCGCTCAGTTCAGCTGCCTGCTGTCACAGTGTTTTATCCCCCCTCATTGCCTGAGGAATTCCAGCCTGGGATCTGTCAGGGTATGGATCCATCATCCTCTACTCACTGCAACTGTCACCCTGCCACAACCAGCCACAGATACAGTCCGTCCGTGACACGGATTCTGTCTTTAATGTTGGTGCTGGTGGCATCTTACGGCACTTTCTCGCAAATTGAAAGAAATTTAGCAGTTTCATGTTTTGTTGATTTAATATTTTCTGTTTTAAAAAGTTTTTTTTTTTCTTTTTTTTCTCTTTTGGGGTGGGGCGGGCACAAGTAGCAGGTCTTGCTTAAGGCGCAAAATTGTCTAGCACCAGTCCTGGCCAGTGACTGATGAGCAGGATGGAATAGGCAGACCCTGAGATAGCAAGTCTGACCTGTTTGGAAGCAGCCCGGGGTCATCTTCTAGAAGTCTGAGTATGTCTGTGTACCAGATTCCTCTGGGCCAGTTTTGTGCAGTGAGAATCAGTTTTTTTCTCTTGCTCTATCTTGCACAGCAGTCAAGGCATAATTCTCAGGGAGTTCGCAGGGGCGGTTGGTGTCGGGATATTCACAGAGTCGGTCCTCTGAACTGTAATGTAGAGGGGCACTGTGATATAAAGGGGACTGTACCGTAAAGGGGCATTGTAATGATTAGTAGGGTATATACTAAAGTGCAGTGTTATACAAATTGGGCCTTCCCAGTACTGGAAAGCAGCTGCATAGGGTGGGGGGGGGGGGGGGGAGGTTGCATAGTAATGGGTGCAGCATTATACATGGGGATGGGTGCTCCCCTGTGCAATCAGGGTGCAATGTTATCAGTGTTAATCCCCATGTGTAAACCCCCATGTTAAATCAGTATGGGGTTGGAGAAGGGTAAATAGTTGGGGTGCAGTGTTCTATAATGTGAAGCAGTATGGGGTGGGGGCAGGGAGAATAGTGAGTACAGTGTTATACAATCTAGGGAAGTATGGGAAGGGGGAAAGGTAAATAGTGAGGGGTGAAGAGATGTATAGAGTGGAGCAGCATGGATCAGGGGCAGGGCGAATAGTGAGTGGAGCAGTATGGGATGGGAACAGGAGTATATGGAGTGGAGCAGAATGGGGTAGTAGGTACAGGGTGAATAGTCAGAGGTGCAGTGTTCTAGAGTGGGTCAGGGTGAACAGTGAGGGGTGCAGTGTTAAATAGAGTGGGTCAAGGTGGAGGGCAGGTGAATAGTGAAGTGGTGCAGTGTTATACAGCATAGGGGAGGGTGAATAGTGAGGGGTGCATGGTTTTATAGGGTAGGTCAAAGTGAATAGCGAAGGGTGGGGTCAGGGTGAACAGTGAGGGGTGCAGTGTTCTGTGGGTTGGGGACAAGGTGTATAGTGAGGGATGCAGGGTTCTGTAGAGTAGACGGGGTGAAGGGTGCAAGGTAGATGGAAGTTGCAAGAAGAGGAGAGGGCTCCCACACAGGGTCAGGGGAAGAGGGCAGAGAACAATGTCGAAGGGGACCCTGGATCAGAGCCCTCTGTATTGGTCAGAGCTGGGGGAGCGGGGCAGCTGGTAATCACGATCTGAACATCAGCAGAGCTGGGTCTCTTCCTGGTAGACTCCTGCTTGGCTGGGGGGTGAGCCAGTACCTGAGAGGGAGGGACCTGGGGACCGGGACGTGTACCGGAGGGACTCAGGGACACAGACACAGCCACAACCAGCCCCCCCGCCCCCATTCACCTTCAATCTTCTGCTGATTACCCGCTTGTTAATATAAAAAAGACTCTCACTGTCTGTGCAGATCATGCCCCCCTGCTCCACTGATAAGATGGCATAGATAGCGGGGCGGGAGAGCAGATACAGACATGGTCACATAGTGGGAGGTGAGCAGTGAATGCGGTCCGTGTTAGCCCTATCCAGATCGCAGTTGCCGCTTACCTCCTGCTGTGCGGCCTGGACATGTGGCCCAGCAGCCCTGGCCCACCAGACAAATACCCGGTGAGCCCTATGGCCAGTCCTGGCCTGCATTGGGCTATAGCTTAAATAGAATAGAATAGATGCTATAATGTTGATGGAGGGAATTTTTCCACTATTTCTTCGTTACAATGCCTCACTTCTCAGATAAATTGGATATATGGTCTTCTAATAGACATTTATTTTTAGATCGATTCTATGTACAATCTTTAGAAGGATTTACTACTTTTTAAATATGTTTTCCTATTAGTTGTTTTTGCCTGTTATCCCTTTTTGAAGTCAGCATCAATGCAAGGTATCCTTGAATAAGGTTTATTATATAAACTTTTTAATTTTATTACTTTTCTATAGACATGTACAGCTTTTCCATAGCTACAGTGAGAGACTGATCATGTTCCCTGAACTGTGGGAGATTGGAACATTCATCCCCAGCCAGAGAGGCTTGAGTCGGTTATCACCTTCCATTGGTATGATAGAAATGACTTGCCTACTGTGAAAACGGAGTTGGAAATCCACTAAACTAGGGAGTTCCTTACTTGGAAGGACAGAGGCATGGGGGAGGTCGAGAGAGGGAGCATGTTCCATTCCAGCAAGATGCCTTGTTGGAGAGGCCTTGAATAGAACAGCCTTAAAGGAGGTCACCATGAGGCCCAGAACTCTCATGGAGAATCTCACACCCCGATTCCTCCAGAATTTGATTACCAATGGCTCCTGTTTGCCTGAGTCTGTGTGAAGAGGACGAGATCCAGCTGTGCACAGTGCTGGATGGATTGATTGATTGAGAACTCAGGTAAGTAGTTAGGGAGGTGGGGAATGCATTAAGGTAAACAAAAACATTTTGGCTTTAGAACCATTTTAAGTGTAGCAAAATATTTTTTTCCCTACAGCAGGGGTCTCCAAACTTTCTAAACAAAGGGCCAGTTTAATGTTCATTAGATTTTAGGGGGGCTGGACTGTGGCCAGTGGGAGTAGAAAAGGTCCTCACATCAGTGGGAAAAAATAATGCCCCATTGTTTGTTTCAGTGAGAGTAATTGCACCCCATTATTAGTGTAATTGCGAGGAACTGTGCCCCATTATTGATGTCATTGGGCCCCATTGTTGGTGTCATTGTGAGGAATTGTGTCCCATAATTGATGTCATCGGGTCCTATTGTTGGTGTCAGTGGGAGGTATTGTGCCCCACTGTTGGTGTCATTGGGAGGAATAGTGCTCCCTTCATTGGTGTCAGTGGTGGGGGGATTATGCCCCATTTTTGGCATCAGTGGATAAAATAGTGCCCCAAGGGTCGTATAAAAGCAAGCAAAGGGCCGCAATTGCCCCCAGGCCGCAGTTTGGACACCACTGCCCTACAGCTTTAGTGACCAAACATACCTGTAATGAAGGATGTCCCATTTCATGCAGGCTGCTGGATCCTGTGGAAATCTTCTGTGCAGGATGCAAAGTCCACTGAACTACCAGCGCTGTGGGGGTTAATAGATTTTGGTCCCTGGGCTGAACTTATTAGAATAAGTTCCTGAAGAGGACCCACTCATTTCCTCTCCATTTCATCCAATCCTCCCACAACGCATGTTATAAATTGGTTTGCTAGGCAGAAAGTAAAGAAATCACATATATGCACAATGAAACTTGACACTTACCTTATTGAGGTGTATCTGTTGCTGCTGAAACTGCTGTTTGTGCTTCTCAAGGAACTGCTGGTGCTGCTGCTGAATGACCAAGTGTTGCAGGGCATGAGAGTTCTGAGGCAGAGGCGCAGACTGTGTCCGGCCCAAAGGGCGGTGCTGTCTTAACTTGTGAATTGTGGGAGAAACCCGATCAGCGGACACTAAAGACTGGGAGTGAAGAGGGAGTGCTCCCAGTCCTGAAATAAGAATACAGATCTGTCTAAGCTGCTAGTGATCTTTCATAAAACAGAACATTCTAAATGCTAAAATATGGACAGAACTTCAACTCACCTGAAACTAATGGGCTTTGTGCACTGGGCTGCTCTAGCAGGACCATATGTTGCAGAAGCGAATTATGAGAGGTTGCTGCATCAGAACCAAGGTAAGGAGTGAGGTGAGAAGCAGGAAACAATGAGAGTCGCTGCTGGATGGTAGGAAGGGAAATGCGTTCAGTCTCTTGTCCAGATGCACCCTAAAATTAAAAAGATTGGTAATGTAAAATATTTGAGCACTGCATGCAAATACATGTGCATCATATAATGTATGAAATTGTTACGATTAAAGTGGCTGAGAGATAAAAGGTCAAACCCTGAACAGAAAATTTCCACTACAGTTTATTTTAAGGGTTAGGCTGGCCTTACTTACACCTGTACATGACAGCAAACTGTGTTAAGGCACGGTATGCTGGATTCCAGAAGATGTGCGTTTTTTGTTAGAGGCACACCAGTGTTTACTGCAACTTAAAGGTGTGAAGGAGCATTAAGCGTTTTCCTGTATGGTTTCGCCAAGCTCAGGCTGATTACCAAGAACACACATTTAAATGACAAAATAAAAACATAAAATGGCACCATAGGCAGATGTGTGAAAAAAGATTCAACTGAGATAGGCAGATGTGTACATAATGTTAATGTGAATTTATTCTCCTTTGAGAAAAGGCAATTAAAGGGGAAATATGATCAGCCAACAAAAGCAAAAATACATAAATGGTCCTTGAAGGAAACAGTGATTTTTTTTTTCAGCTGGCAACTTTTATGTAAAAGTGATTCTAGCAATTGTAGAGGTGGCTGATCACTCTTATAGATCTCCATTAAAAAAAACTGGCATCTGTTAGTACCCCCACTACTGTTCCTTGTGAAAGCAATTTAAATACATGAAAAAACTGTTTTGTAAAAGTAACTTATGATAAAAATAAAATAAAATTGTTTTTTAAATGTAAATGCTGCACCCCTTACACACCTGACTCTATATAACATGACATACAGTGGATATAAAGTATACACACCCCTGTTAAAATGTCAGGTTTCTGTGATGTAAACAGACAAAGATAAATAATTTCAGAACCTTTTCCACCTAACCCTAATGTGACTTATAAACTGTACAACTCAATTGAAACACAAAATGAAATCTTTTAGGGGGGGGAGTAAACATAAATAATGTGGTTGCAGTGTGCAGGAATTTGCTGTGTTCAGAATTAAGCAATCACATTCAAAATGATGTTAAATAGGAGTCAGTACACACCTTCCATCATTTAAAGTGACTTTGATTAACCCCAAATAAAGTTCAGATGTTCTAGTTGGTCTTTCGTTACATTTTCTTAGTTGCATCCTACAGCAAAAGCCATGGTCAGCAGAGAGCTTCCAAAGCATCAGAGGGATCTCATTGTTAAAAGGTATCAGTTGGTAGAAGGGTACAAAAGAATTTCCAAGGCGTTAGAGATACCATGGAACACCGTGAAGAGAGTCATCAAGTGGAGAAAATATGGCGCAACAGTGACATTACCAAGAACAGGACGTCCCTCCAAAATTAATGAAAAGATGAGTAGAAAAAACTGGTCTGGGAGACTGCCAAGAGGCCTACAGCAACATTAAAGGAGCTGCAGGAATACCTGGCAAGTACTGGTTGTGTGGTACATGTAAAGAAAAACATCCATCTAAATTTTGCAAAAACACCTCTGAAGTCTCCCAAAAGCATGTGAGAAAATGTGTTATGGTCTGATGAAACCAAGGTTGAACTTTTTTTGCCATCATTCCAAAAGAACACAATAGTGTTCTTTTGGAAGAAACATAGTAACCCATAGTGAAGCATGGTGGTGGCAACATCATGCTTTGGGGCCGTTTTTCTTCAGATGGAACTGGGGCCTTAGTCAAGGTAGAGGGAATTATGACCAGTTCCAAATACCAGTCAATATTGGCACAAAACCTTCAGGCTTCTGATAGAAAGCTGAACATGAAGAAGAACTTCATCTTTCAGCATGACAATGACCCAAAGCATACATCCAAATCAACAAAGGAATGGCTTCACCAGAAGAAGATTAAAGTTTTGGAATGACCCAGCCAGAGCCCAGACCTGAATCCGATCGAAAATCTGTGGGGTGATCTGAAGAGGGCTGTGCACAGAAAATGCTTATCAATTTGACAGATTTGGAGCGTTTTGTCAAGGAAAAGTGAGCAAATATTGCCAAGTCAAGATGTGCCATGCTGATAGACTCATACCCAAAAAGACTGAGTGCTATAATAAAATCAAAGGGTGCTTCAACAAAGTATTAGTTTAAGGGTGTGCACACTTCTGCAACCATCTTATTTTAGTTTTTTTTTATTTTTACTTCCCTCCACCTAAAAGATTTCAGTTTGTTGCTCAACTGAGTTGTACAGTTTAAAGGTCACATTAAAGGTGGAAAAAGTTCTGAAATGATTTGTCTTTGTCTCATTTTTTTATATCACAGAAACCTGACATTTTAACAGGGGTGTGTAGACTTTTTATATCCACTGTACACATGTATACAAACAAAAATTTGCCACACTTGAGGAATCACGCTTAAATATAGTGTAGTGAGAATGAATGTAGTTGTAGTGAGAGCAATAATAATAGCGGCCTAATTCACCGTTAAATCTAAAACGGATAACCTGTAAAAGAGTTTCCCCATCTACAATTTTGGGTACTATAAATTTTTTGTGATTCAACAGCTGAGCCAATTCTAAGGCTCGACATGGTTGATATTTACTCGACAGAACTCCATCTTTTATATGTATCTAAATAATTGGGTATTTTACTGTGTTTGTTGGCACTCTAAATAAAAATAGTTTTTTTCCCCTGAAATTATGTACTTGAAGAGAGTCGGTCAAATATCACGTGCCTCCCTCCTTGTCCAATCAGAGAATGCTTTCCATTCATTCAAAGCATTCTTTGAATGGCACCCGTGCTGAACAGATGACGACCTATGTTCACAATGCATCAGACCGGCCACTCAGCACAGGACCTGTCAGTAAGTGTCTACTTTAGCGATTTCCAGCTTCCATGAGCATTGGCCAGGTATGGTACAGTGCCTTGAAAAAGTGTTCATAAAACTTGAAAATGTTCACATTTTGTCATGTTACAACCAAAAAAATAAATGTATTTTATTAGAATTTTATGTACTAGACAAACACAAAGTGGCACATAATTGTTAAGAGGAAGGAAAATGATAAATGGTTTTAAAATTTTTTTACAAATAAATATCAGAAAAGTATGGCATGCATTTGTATTCAGTCCCCTTTACTCTGATACCCCTATCTAAAATTTAGTCGAACCAATTGCCTTCAGAAGTCACCTAATTAGTAAACAGAGTCCACATGTGTGTAATTAAATCTCAGTATAAATACAGCTTTTCTGTGAATCCCTCAAAGGATTGTTCAAGAACATTAGTGAACAAACAGCATCATGAAGGCCAAGGAATATACCAGACAGGTCAGGGATAACATTGCGGAGATGTTTAAAGCAGGTTTAGGTTATAAAAAATATCCCAAGCTTTGAACATCTCAGAGCATTGTTCAATCCATCATCTGAAAATGGAAAGAGTATGGCACAACTGCATACCTAACAAGACATAGCTTTCCACATAAACAGACAGGCTGGCAAGGAGGGCATTAATCAGAGAAGCAGCCAAGAGGCCCATGGTATCTTTGGAGGAGTTGCAGAGATCCACAGCTCAGGTGGAAGAATCTGTCCACAGGACAACTATTAGTCGTCCACTCCACAAATCTGGCCTTTATGGAAGAGTGGCAAGCAGAAAACCAGTGTTGAAAGAAAGCCATAAGAAGTCCCGTTTTCAGTTTGCGAGAAGCCATGTGGGGGACACAGCCAACATGTGGAAGAAGGTTGTCTGGTCAGATGAGACCAAAATTGGACTTTTTGGTCTAAAAGCAAAATGCTATGTATGGTGGAAACCTAACATTGCACATCACCCTGAACACATCACCCCCACCGTGAAACATGGTGGTGGTGGCATCATCATGTTGTAAGGATGCTTTTTCTTCAGCAGGGACAGGGAAGACTGATGGAGCCAAATACAGGGCAATCTTAGAAGAAAACCTGTTAGAGTCTGCAAAAGACTTGAGAATGGGACAGAGGTCCACTTTCCAGCAGGACAATGACCCTAAACATACAGCCAGAGCTACAATGGAATGGTTTGGATCAAAGCATATGTGTTAGAATGGCCCAGTCAAAGTCCAGACCTAAATCCAACTGAGAATCTGTGGCAAGACTTGAAAATTGCTGTTCTGTGCACAGATGTTCTCCATCCAATCTGACAGAGCTTAAGCTATTCTGCAAAGACGAATGGACAAAAATTATACTCTCTAGATGTGCAAAGCTGGTAGGAACATGCCCAAAAAGACTTGCAGTTGTAATTGCAGCGAAAGGTGGTTCTACAAAGTATTGACTCTGGGGGGTTAAATACAAATGAAAGCCACACTTTTCAGATATTTATTTGTAAAAAAACAATTTGAAAACCATTTATCGTTTTCCTTGCACTTCACAATTATGTGCCACTTTGTGTTCACATCAAATCCCAATAAAATGAATTTATGTTTTTGGTTGTAACATGACAAAATGTGGAAAATTTCAAAGGGTATCAATACTTTTTTCAAGGCACTGTATATACAAAGTTACATTGGTCCAAGTTGGACTAATGTAATTATGCAAAAATATATCATGCCTGGAGTTCTTAAAGGTCAGTGCAAATGACATGGAGGTTCTCTTTATCGGTTGAAAAGGTCTAACCTCTGCATACGGAAAAGCTTCTTCACAGTAAGAGCTGTAAAAATAAGGAAACAACTTTCTCAGGAGCTAGTTATAGACAGCTCAGCTGATTGTTTAAAAAAAAAAATGTGTTTTTAAATGCATTGAAATAATGAGCTATTAACATTTATAAAAAACAATACCAGAGATTGTAGATCAAGAGAATATCCGAGTTCCTTAGAGGATCAGGAAAGAATAGGATTTATTTGTATTCAACGTAAAATCCTTTTCTCTGAATTCATTGGAGGACACACCTCTACTCACAAGAACAAAAGTATTAACGAATATGGGCTGCAGTAAGCCACAGGGTTACCCTGTGCCCTCCAATTAAAACAGAGAAAAAAAGAGGAATTTTGACTTCTCAGTAAATTCCATATCTTGGAGTACAGTACATGACACAGGCTGGCTATTCGTGCA